TGATATTATATTAACTTAATAACTTTTAAAGCAATTTTAAAGCAATATTTGTGTGTTAACATATTAAATTAAACCCATTCTTTAATTGTTAAGTAAGTTTAGTACTTATTGTCGACAAACATTAATTCAATGTCGACTTACACCATTCATTGTCGACTGACGTAAATCATTGTATGTCGACGAACTTGTTGACAAATATGATGCATTGTTGACAAATATAATGCATTGTTGACAAATATGATGCATTGTTGACAAATATGATGCATTGTTGACAAATATAATGCATTGTTGACAAATATGATGCATTGTTGACAAATATGATGCATTGTTGACAAATATAATGCATTGTTGACAAATATGATGCATTGTTGACAAATATGATGCATTGTTGACAAATATAATGCATTGTTGACAAATATGATGCATTGTTGACAAATATGATGCATTGTTGACAAATATAATGCATTGTTGACAAACTCAATTCATTGTCGACAAACTCAATCTATTGTTTAAAAAGGTAATCAACGATTTGTTTTACCACAAGCACATTTACAAAATATATTTGAACGATTCAATAGTACAAGATACAGTGTAGTAATTAATAAATTCTAGTTGACAACGGTGACAAGACGCGTGTCTTTTTAGAAGCAAACTGACAGCTGTAATACATCTTGGACGTAACAACAAATAATTGTAACAATTCGTGTTATTATAAATTGGATAGCAACGATGCCTCCTGCTAAGACTTTGTACCTATGGGGAAAATGTCACGATGGGCATGATTTTAAAGTCAAATAGCAAACCAAAGAATAGCATCATCATGGAATAAAGTATACATACATGAAGTCAGCACTATAAACTGTATACAGGTGCGAGAAAACAATAAGTTAGTGTAGATTAGAGGGAATATGGCGTAAAAGATACGTGGTATGTTTCAGTTTTTGCATGGGTTTGTCATATTAGATGCTTAGTAATCATAACTCATAAAATAGTCGACAGTTCTCGATATGGGCATTGATTAGTAAAGTGGGGAATGATAGGCTATCATGTATCGGCGCTGAGATGTAAATGATCGTGTATTTAAATATGTACAATATGTACATTGTAAATGATCGTGTATTTAAATGCAATATGTACATCGAATGTCAATATGTACACAAGTTGTCAAACCAGTACATGTTGTATACGTACATACATAATGCCTGTACACATTGTACAGGAATCCCTGTTAACATTGTACATGTATGTGCGTACGCATTCATTATTAATCGCATACATGTACAGTACATTGTACATATCTATATAGGCATCGTACATAAATATTTAAAAGTGTATACCAGAACATATTGCTTTTCAGTACACATTGTAACGTGTATACCTGACCATATTACATTTCAGTACACATTGTAAATATGGACAACGTGAATACCTTAATAAACATGGTGCGCGTTGTCGCCTCTTTTCATGATGCATTGGTGTGTGCGTTCGCCCTGAACTCATGCTCAAATTATGAAATTGTACACAGTGTACTGTACTCTACATATTTCATAACTGTACATATTGCAATATTGCATACGTCAATAATACATTTATGTGTAACTACACATCGTATGCGTACATCTGACACTACACATTGTATGGGTACACATACTTATATATGTCGACACGTTATAGTAGGACATACACCTGTCACTACATATTGTATATATGGCATTGGCGTCGGGAGGGGGAGGGCGTTGGGGGCGACCGAGCCTAGAACCCCGGGGCCTAGAATAGCTCTAGAGCTAATTATAACTTGACTTTGACTAAAAAACGTTGACTAGAATATACATTTTGCATTTATTCTTCAAAGTATTTACATACTGCATCAGTGTATGGGTTCCTGAGAAACTATTCATGGTATAGAATTAAATATAATATGAGAAATGAGATCTTTTATGCTTAATGTAGACTAGATACTGACATGTGTCATTTCCTACTATTTCTAATCGTTTTTTTAACTTCACAGTTCATGTGTTTCAACTGCGCTGTTTAACTTGGCTGTTCCGATATTTAACTTCACTTTTCAGTTATTCATTTTGCCCGATCATAAATTTAAATGGCTGCCCTTATATTTTTAGATATTTAACTTGATTGGAGTTGTAGCTGTTATGGTATTGAACCTCTGTACTGACTTTTTACAGAATCAGATCTAGTGAACAACCTTTCCCCAAACATTGCTTCACCTTTCATCAAAATAATCAAAAATCCGTGAATGTTCTTCCCAACTTATCGAAACAAATGAATGGTTCAATGGCTAAAAATAAAGCATACATCTTACAAAGATAAGCCAGTGAAAATGACACTAGAAAAATACGCATGCCATAATGCTGTTTTGACAAAACTGATCCACTTTTTATGAAAATAGCACAGAGAAAGACAATGAACAAACTACATGTAACTGCTTGTTTTCTGTTGGTTAGGTAACATGTTAATGATGTAATTAACGGTGATGTGCGACGTTTGGCTTTGTCGTTTGTTTAGTTGATAGGGCAATAAGTAGCTGATGTCATAGTTTATGTGATATCATTATTTTATGGACGTGAAAACAACCTGCGACCCTTTATGGATTAAAACACAGGAACCTTTGAAACGTTTTTCATGAGTTTAAATGACATGCATGCCATCTATTTAAAAGGTTTAAGATTTTTCCATTTTTCGACGGAGCTGGAATGATTGACGAAGACTGAAACTGACCGACAGAATTAGGGGACAGTTAATATACAATTTAAGTGACCCAAACCTTTCCTTTCATCTTGCTACTGAATAATAACATTACTCAGAACAGAAATCAGATAAGATGTTGTCACATTACCTTTTCCCTTTAGCTAAGCCTAACATGTTAAGAGACAATTCATACAAGTCATGCAAACCAATATCAAAGCCAAGCTTATACACAAAACAATCAAATACAAATTCATCATTTTTATTCTCAATTAAGAATTACTTCTATGTTCGTGTCTCAGTGCCATGCTACAAGGCATCAATTCGGTTCAGTCAGGAAATGTAGAAATGTTTTGGGAGTCAATATAAAATCTAAAATATTTGAAATCAGTTACATGTTTACTAGTCGTGCTTCCAGGCTAATTCCCCGCAAATATTAGAAAATACACACCTCGCCTCTACAACAAAAGGCACCATAACATATCTGAGCCTGGCCATAGGAAAACCGGTCTTATCACAAAAATTAAAATTGTGCTACAGAGCCAAAAATGTGCCCAAGATTAAGAGGAAAATGTGCTAAATTCAAATCCGACTTTTTGGTCTTTGAATGCAAGGAAAAATTGTTAATACATAAGCCATGGCTCATTTGAAAGGTCTCTTTGTGCTTTCTAAGATAAACAAAAAATCAGAATATTGAAAAAATCTGTGATAAGACCCCTTTTCCTGTGGCCTGGCTCATTCTGTTGTTGGAAAAGTTCAAAATTCTTAATATGTTGGTCGTGTAGAAACATACAAATAGAAATTGTGGGGTTTGAGCTTGAAGCAATACTTAGAGTACTGCAAGGCTATTTGGGAATAAATAATACATGTTTCCTGAATTACTATGGAATGTACATAGAAACACTAAAAGCATGGTTCTAAATATTACATCTACATAATTACATATACTCATGATGTTAAAACTTAAGTTCCAAAATATATTACATTTACATATATAAGTACATGTATAAATGATTTTCATGTAGAGAATTTCATTGGAATGTTTTACTTTTCATCAAAATTTTACATCCCTCAGATAAGAGTCACTAAAAGCAAACTATATACACAATCGTTACAATTGATCAACTGGAATTGATATCAATAATCATTTCCAGCAAAATGTTGAATTCTTCTGCAAAATATCACACAAGACTTATCCCCAAAATTTGTGATTTTCACAAAAATTGTTTCACATCAATATTTCAGTCAAATATATTTTTTTCTATAAAGTACAAAAATTCTACATTTAAGTGCAAATTTACATAATCTTATATACATGACTGATCTCAAATGCATGATGGTTGTGAAGCTGTTTTAATATTATACCACATATAAGCTCAAGATAATTCTTTTAAATATATAGACACCTTCTAATCTTGATATGAGAACAATGGTACCCCTAATCCGCATTTCATACAATGCTACCATATAGCACCATTGTATAAAACTAATGTATGATACTTTTGAATGGTACTAATATTTGGTACTGCTGTATGGTAATAGTACCATTGTTTGGTACTAATGTATACATATTGTATACATGCTAAACTGTTGATGTGTTTCTCATATCTAGCTTAGGGGTGTCTCAGCACAACAAACGTAACTCTGTATAATACTGCACGATTGTGCCAAGTACAACAATATTCATCGCATTTCTAAAGCTACGAGTGCTACACCCTGATTTTAAACGACATTTTATATAAGTCAAATACATATTATATCCTTAAAGATACATACATGTCTTTTTTAAAATACTTTAGGCAAGATTTTTATTATGTAGAATGAACTTAACTATTTTAATCCTTTTTTGAAATATTTGCAAAACACATGATTGCTAAGATCAGTTTTTTAATTGCTATGGAAGTCAGAACAAATGCGACTAAACTTGGAATGTTTCAAAAGATTAATAAAAAGTACTTGTTTCTGTTATTTACAAAAGATTGAGATTTACTAAAAAATGTTTAAATTTAAAAATGTTGCTTTCTGTTGGAACAAGATTATATACAACCATTTGAATAACCTACTTGTTAGTCTTTAAGACCTGTTTAAAACTACCCTCTGTTCTTTCAAAACTTCATCAATATTCTTTGAATAAAAAATAATTCTTTATTCTAATCATAAGAATATACCTAAGGACACTATAAATAGCTAAAATCCATTTTACTTTCCATAAAAGGTCATGAAGGCATTACATTTGAGATGATGAAGATCAGTATTGAATACCTCTACTCAGAGGGCAGCGTGGTGGTGTTATTAATTAGGACTTGGGTGGTTTAATCAAACATATAAAATATTAAAGAATATGACATAGAGGTTAATAAACCATTGTTGTCTACTTAACTCTATGAAATAAATCTAAATTCTACAAAAATCCAGAACAATGTCATGTTTCTCGTATTTATGCTATTTAAAGTGGTTGTATGGTTGCTATGGTAACATGCGGTCACTATGGCAACATGTTTCAAAATGGCTGTTTGCTACTATAGCGACTACCATCGATAGTTGTGTTATCTGTTTGATTGAAGTCCATTGTTTCCATTTCCACTGCCTGCCTATATTCCGTTAGCTCTTTAGAAACTTTAATTCTCGTATAGTTTGAAGAAAGCGCAATTAGAAAGCTCACCTGCAAAAATGACAAAATGCGTTGTTACATATTTTACAGAATATTGTAATGTATAGAAGACTTGCATACAAATTCATAGCTACAAAGTCCATAAAAATGAAGTGTCTATTTAGCAGTGTCCCTCCCTGGTCAAACCTTTTTCCCTTTTTATTTTATTTTACAATTTTAGAATGAAAAAACTGGCCATATGGTCCTTTTTTAAAAACAAAAATATGATAAACAGACAATAAACCTTTATAGACTAAATAACATGAATTATAATTTACTAAAAGTTATATTATAAATCTTTAAGTTTAGTTATTTTCTTGAAGAAAGATCATGGAAAACCCTACTTAAGACACATATCAAATTACAAGAGAATGTATATCATAGCCTTATAGGGGACCTTCATGTTGCATTTATTGACAGAAATTTAATGTACCAGGGAAGCCTGAGGCAAGATGGATCATTAAGGGTCAACACGTGCAGTGCCATCTTTTGTGGCTCCAAGATAATATATTTCTTCAATATTCTGGGGCGTTTCATAAAAATATTGTAAATTACATGTAAAATTTTTGGGGGCCTGTTTCTTAAATCTGTTGTGAATTAGGATTTAAGAATGTCAAACATAGGATGTTATCTAATGGGAGGCAAAAGCCATGGAAAACTTTCTTTGTGATCCATTTTACCAGAGGCTTCTGAAGTGCAGAACGCAATGTGCTGAAGTAGGTTTTCCCAAAGTTTGCATGCTTTTGTATTCTGTGGTGATAGGACAGCACATATGCTTCCTGTATTACTATGACTTAACTAACATGGCACCAGAGAGGTTTGAAGGGATTGCTTATTTAAAAGGAGGTTTCCAATTCCAAACCCTGGTGGTTATCATAGAAAAGTAGCATCATTTATTGTTCATGAATTCTTATTCAGGAAAGTCAACTTTTTTAACATATTGCCAGTATGTTACATCAATGCTCTAGACAATGACAAGTGAGATTCAGTTATCATATCTGCAACTCCTTTAAGTAATCTATGCATCACAACACCAAAAATAAATTGAATTATTCACCACAATAATCTTACAATACAATAAAGCATGCAAACTTCTCATCTAATTGCCTTTGCCTTATAACTAAACTACTAAGTAAACAAACATTAATTGCCTTAGCCTAGAAGGGTCCTGAGGTGTTACTGATTGCGTCATTTGAAAGTGCAATTTGTTGTCGATAGTCTTTTATCTCAGAGCCTGACTTTATTCTTGTGAAGTTAGCGGAAATTGCTAACATGAAGGTCACCTATAGAAACAGAGAATAACCTGATGATTTTTGAAGGATATCATTTTTATCCAATTCATCAAAACTTTGGTGGATTTGTGAAAAATTGCAAAATTGGCAAAGTTTATAGCCCTTGAAAGAACAAAAATTTCTGGAATAATTCTTTCTTTTTCAAAACTGGAATTCTATTCTAATGTTTTGAATGTGGTGAAGACCATACAGATTGGTATGGTGGCCTAATATCCCATATGGAATTCACTGTTTTTGCTTTTAATAATATGATGCAGGGCAAAGGGTTTCAGACAAAATGAAAGGATAGATATTGATATGGTGAACTGAATTCAACAATGTTTTTCTCTTAAATCATACCTATCCTTTTGGTTGATTTAACAAAAAGTATGCAAAAGCTTAAAACAAAACCCCCCAAAATAGATAAAAATTAAGATAAACCTTTTATTTCATAACAAGATACATTTTTAAGATCAACCAAACTTTCTTTTGTACAATTACAATATTGAGAGACGTTGTGTTTATGTCGTTTTGTTCCAATGAGGTTCAGATAGATGTTTCATTTCAATCCGAACATATGATACTAAGAACAGAAGAAGTGTCGGATGTGTTTTCTAAAACAATATAGAGAAAAGTATATACATATCTTTCAAATTATATTTTCATAATATAAACATCCATTAATAAAGATCTAACAGCGTGCATATTGGTGAATTCATTTCCAAAGCAATCCCCAACCAGCCTTAAACATCATGCAGTTACATAAGGAAACCTAAGTATATTGTACTGTACACTACAATGTACAACAAATGCGACAGAATTAACAAAAAATACAGTGCTTGCTTGTAAAACTTTGAAGTGAAAATAAGTTATTTGCATGAAACAAGGTTGCAAGCAGATAGATAAACAACAATAGCTTCAACCATCAAAAGACATTAAAATAACTGATACATGATGTTAGAAAATACTTTGATATTGAATGAAATGTGAAAGAGGTTGCATTAAAATTACTAACAACAGGCAAATAATTGGGAATGAATCGTTTTAACATAGAGACAGCTGCAGTCTTGAGACAAGCAATTTTCGTAAAAATACAAAAATTGCATGTTACAAGTCACTAATGAGGCATCTTGTTCAATGCAGGAATTGCTGTCTCTCAGTTGTCATCCATTTAATTATATGATTTTTTGCTCTCAAAATAATTATCACAGAATATTTATAGAAATAACATTTAACCAAGAATTTAATGTGTGTTTTTTGAAAGTAAACTGCAGAACATTTCACTTTGCTATTTAACTATAAAACATTTGGGTTCTTTCTTAATTTGGTGCCCAACCCATTCTAAATATATCCCCCATGTAATACCTTGTAATAGGTGAGTTGAAAAGGAATTGAAAGTTAAAACATGTAATGAGTTTCTGATAGAAGTATAATGGCAAACTCAATGACCTGATATTATACCAAGGAAGTTTATAAAAGAGGAGTTTTTCTTACCATTCCCAAAACAATTAGCAGGGACCCAGCAAATGCAATACTGAACATTACTCCAGCGGTGTCTACCTGTAAAACATTACAATACAATTAGCAGGGACCCAGCGAATGCAATACTGAACATTACTCCAGCGGTGTCTACCTGTAAAACATTACAATACAATTAGCAGGGACCAGCAAATGCAATACTGAACATTACTCCAGCGGTGTCTACCTGTAAAACATGATAATACCATATTAGTGGTTCTTTTAACTGATGACCATATTATGCCCAAATAAAGGCATTTCTCTTCATTGGTATCTAAAGAACTAGAGCTCTCAAATAACACTGATGTCCTAAAGGGATATTTGAGAAACAGACAGACATCTGGCATATAACTTGAACCATAAAAATGTACACCAAGATATTGATGTACATTTGGCTATTGTTCCACTATGAGCACCTTTAGTGGGCGTAATCCATTAACATATTAATCAATATATTAGTTTTTTGTTTAATCTGACCTGATTCCATTAAGACAAATAAATCTCAGTTCATCTATTTCAATAATTATTCAGGGTAATAAAAATATTATTATAAGATTATTCATTAAATAATTCAAACTTACGTGCTGACAAAATTTTCCTACATTAGTTGCTCCACAAGTGTAATTGTAAGTGAGATTAGGGATGCCTTCGTAGTATATACCTGCAAAGAATATCATTAAATAAAACAAATTAAGAAAAATTACAAAATTCTGTGTTAGCTTGCACATACATTCTTTTGTTTTATCTTCCGAAAAGATATAAGAAATTATTTTAAGGATAGGCAAATAGCAATCACTTTTCAATCTAAGGTTGATTGGCAAAAAGCAATCACTTTTCAATCTAAGGTTGATTGGCAAATACCAATCACTTTTCAATCTTGATTGGCAAGTAGCAATCACTTTTCAATCTTGGACTTGGAAAAGGCAATAGCCTCATGGGTGGTGGACTGGATGCCAATATGGTGAACTGTCAACGTTAGTCATGGGGCCTGTCATTTGTGATTCTACTATTTCCATTAGATTTCTTTTGTAAAACTCACCAAATCTTGACATATTCACGCATCCTCTCCAAGGACTTTCAAAGAACCAGTCTCCTTGGCCTTGAAACTCATTGACACAAATGCTATTCACCATAATGTAGATGATGATGGGCATGGCCATCACTGATGTCACACCCATCCAGATGAGGTTCAGGATATATGTTATCAGCATGAACTGAAAAAACAAAGAAAGCACAACTTAATATTCTAGTATCACCCATCCAGATGAGGTTCAGGATATATGTTATCAGCATTAACTGAAAAAACAAAGAAATCACAGCTTAATATTCTAGTATCACCCATCCAGATGAGGTTCAGGATATATGTTGTCAGCATGAACTGAAAAAACAAAGAAATCACAACTTATAGTATTATTTGTTATTCAAATTGCATGAATGCACTGAATTTTACCATAAATGCACTGAATTTCACCATAAATGCACTGAATTTCATAAATGCATAGCTGTTTTGAACTTTTGGTGGCTGCTTAATTTGGTGGACTTGCAATATAACATTGTACTAATTATTCTTATTTATATATTACTAAAATTACCCGAGAATTTGGTGGCTTCTTAATTTGACGGATTTTAACAAGTACAGGTATAGTATTCAAAATGAGAACTTACATTTAGGTCTTCAGTAGGACATATAAACTGAGTAATTAACCAAATGCAATTGGCCATTTGAAAGAAAATGGAAAAAGTCCAGCCTGCTTAAATCTTCAAGACACCGTGCAAAGACGTTGTATTATACATGTATTATTTAATCATCTGAATATTATTTGTGATCGCTTCAAAAATAACTTTGAGACATTTCTTGAGAAATTGAATTTATATATACAGAATTTTTCAAGCAGTGTTATTGATCATTAGCCAAAGTGGTTTAAAATTACAAAAAAGCCATAATAAGGCCAGTACTGACCCCCATAAAATGGATATGAGCTACATTCAGACAGATGGACTGACAAAAGATCACTTACTACACCAGCTGAAACTCTTCCTCCCATAATGCACTTGGCTCCTTGATACACATTCTCTCTTGTAGCACCTGTTGCTAGGCAACCAAACACAAAAAGAAAGATTGCGAAGCATCCCATGACAACGGCGACTATAATGAAGATCACCTGTATGGTTTTTAACCTGGAAATAAAGAAAATTGCTCAATGTTATTATCATATTATGATCTCTTTGGCATTTAAGACAGGTGCTGCCCCCTTTTTAAAACTTCTAATTTAAAAATGTTGTCCAAGAAATCTGTTTGCATGGCCATCATTTTTGTGAGAAAACTGAACTTCAATGTCATGGCAGTCATGGTTCTAAATGAAAAATACAATTACAATGAGGTAAATGAGAAGTTCATGAGAAATCAACTCTAAGTGTAAATCAGCTACATGATGTATTTTAATCTATTTGTTTAAAATGACTCATAAACAAACATTATATTAAAGTTATGACAGCCCAAATCAGAAATTGATAGTTTCTGCAAAGTTCTGCAAAATTCAAGTTGTCAAAAGTCAAAACACCAAAGTATGCTAAGAACTGCATTAGTAAGGATAAACTTCAAGTTTATGTTTAATTACATTTTTGCATAAATACTACGTGTGTGATAACTGAATTCAACATGAAACATATGTGGGAGTCTATGATATCACTTGTATAATATTCATTAATTGTAACTCAATCAAGAATCAATCAACATTAAAGATAACAGAACACTCAGACACTCTTCAAATCATTAATCATTGCAACAGGTAAACCATTACTTATAAGAGTACTTAGTTCAGGTGAAATAGAATTCAATAATATAAAGTTAGTAATATACAATACATATACATATTATGCCTTCGCCTATTCCACTTAGTGCTTGCAACGGTAATGGATCTCACTGCCGGTAAATTTCACCTCCATTACCTTACCGTTACCGATAATCGTTGATACTGATAATGTTCCTAAAATCCCGGGGAAAAACCTGAAAGTGAAACTAAAATATTTGGAAAAATCCTTAACGAAGCCGATTTCTCAGCTTAATTTCCCGCTCACATCAACAACAGTGGATATATTGTATCATCATGTATCTCGTGTGTGATTGTGTATTGTTAGGAAGTCTTTAAATGATAATATAGAGTGAATTCGATCAAAATTGATCAAACTATTTGTGTTTGTTTTTACTTCACCGAAATATCACGTCACGTGATTTGTTAATCTCGCGGCATGGGAGATGATTGACAGAAGTGGGTGGGGTTTTGCTTATCCTCCCGCCTTTTACGAATGCTTTGCAGTTGATTGACAGATTAGCTCTTCAAATGTGGAGATTGAAATATACATGATTGATAAAATATTCTCGTATTCTTAAACGAACATTGTTTCGTAAATTTGACAATGGATCGCAATGCCAATCATCATGTTGCAGCAGCATGGCGATTATCGGCAATGGATTTTATTACCGGCAATTGAGAGTATCTACTGCCGCTGCCGACAACCCGGCATTACCGTAAGGCACTAATTCCACTTTACGTAAGAAAAATTCCCGATAGCATCTGACTATTTTGAGACTTGTACAGACCCCCCTCCAACACACTTGAAGCCACCATTTTTGCTTTATTTTTTATTTTTTGGCCAAATTATCAAGAAAATGGGTTTTGAATTTTCAAAATTTGGGCCCATTTTTTGTTTCAGTGGTCCGATATTGGTTTCCATTAGATCTAAAGCACAGAAATTTATCTTCAGACAGACTTCATAAATGGGCACCCCCTTGTTGGTTTCTTGATCAGCCAGTGTAATATGAGGAATGTCCTGAACTAAATGATTGTGTCTAAGTGACATTACATGTATGATGGATTTTCCACAGATGGCAGAATTTTTCTTGGGAAATACCTCCTAAAGATAGCGCAAAGTGAGGAAAGCTTTTTGAAAAAAAATTCTTCCAGGTTTATAATTTGCAAATGACATCATAAAACAATTGAGACGTAACTAATCAATACAGATTTACGATTAACAGGGTTCAAGGCTTGAGTTAACAATGAAAACATACCACAAAAGGATAACAGTACTGTCAAGTCTTCGAAGATTGTTGGAGAGTTTGAAATATTGATCGTTGTTCTTCTCATACTGCCAGTATAACAGTGTAACCCTCGAGATCTATCTCTGCTCGAGGAGGGAATTGTGTCTAATGCTTACCACCTTTGCGCAAATTTTCACCAGTAAGTTTTTGAATATAACATGTCGTGTTGATGTTTTAATTGATGTTAACATATCCCTTACATTTTTCTTTATCTTGATGTGAAATAACAAGCTATGACATTGGTTAACATGCCAGATATTGAAATATTATTATTCAAAGCGTTAGAAAATTCGAAAATTTTGAACCGCCATATTTGTTTACCGATTTGGACCAAACAGGATGGTCATCTCAATACTAGTGGAACAAGTAAGTTTTTAAAACATTTTGCTGTTTATTCAGTATCACGAGGCTCAATTATGACCAAGAATGAAGTTAATTTGTTAAAAAAAGACCGTAGAAAACAATGGTGCAGGTTTCATAAGGAGTAGTATTATGATAGCAGAGATATCCAACTTTCAAAAACTGGAAGCGAAATTATATACATTTTTTTCAAGAAGCCTACCTCACTTTCGCTGTTTTAGGAGATATTTCCTTATAAAAATTCTGATATCTGTGTGATTTTCTTACCATGTTACATTAACATTATATAGTCCCAACAAGATTCCATCTAGGATTTCCTGTGATGCCCTGTATACTGTTCCACAGAATATTCCTACGCCACATAACACAATAAAACCCGCAATTAGGGACGCAAATGGAGTACGGCCCAAACAGTCACCTGAAACAAGACATATATATTATGTGAGAGTTAAAATTGAATGCTTTTTAGATGATACAAAGACATCATTCACAGTACAAAGGATCAAAAGCACAACAATGATTCATTTTGGACAAACTTTGAAATCAGCCCAAAATTTCAAAATTGGGGATCAAACACATGACTGCCCAGCCGGAATTTTACTGGTCAGAAGCGCCCCTGCATATTGGTTATAAATCCATATAAATATTACAAAAGAAGCAGTATCGAAAATTAATCATCAACCATATTCGATTGTACAGTAAAAAAAACTGAAGAAAAAGTGCAATATAAAATATTATTGGAATTAGGTCACCTGTACAGGTAAAAATTGTTTCCGGGTTTGATTACAGGTGTTCCGATATAAAAATAGTCAAATTTACTCACCCATTTTCAAAAATAGTATCCCTATGTACACAAGTTATTTCGATCTTTATTTTTAGTCTACATATTGTCCCGATTCATGGCGTAAAATTGCATATAATATGGAAATGTAAAAGTTTGTTATCTTTGAATTTCAAATATGGCCGACATGAGGCCCCTTAGATTAAACATCAGGAATAAATGGTTGAAAAAGACCTCTTTATATCGCATTACAGAACTCCAGTAATATTGATTAAATTTTATGAGATATATCTATCACATTTTGTTGACATAAATCTTAAATGTTCTGACACGAGAGATTATTTTAAATAAATAAACGTTTTTATTTTGTTCTTATAAGAGGTCTTAAGAACAGTTCTATTATCCATTTATAGATGGCGATAATCAGGATAAGTAATTGTACACTGTTGGCAAAAATCAACGCCAGGGGCAGATTTTCATTTATCAATTATTGAACGATACACGTTCTAAGTTTTTCAAATAAGCCGAATAACATAATGTATGATTACACGAGGAAATTCGAAAGTACTGCCTTTTATCGGCAGATTGTATTAATTAAAATCATATTAAATAGACACCATCGGTCAAAACGTTCAGACGTTAGTCATGCTTAAAATACCCTGTACCCCCCCCCCTTTATCCTTCTGTATATTGCCAGGTAAAGAGAGTGAAGGTGACGGGGGGGGGGGTGGATACAGTATTTGAGCAAGACTATCAAAACGTTTGAACAATGAATCGTGATATCTTATAGTGATGTATTGGAAAAACCTAGAATCAAAATTATAAATTGATTGCATGAGCTGATTGGAAAATAAAGCTTATAATTAGGTGTTCAATTAAGCCAAGGGGTCTCCTGAGAGGTGAAGCAACTCATAGTTCATCTTTGATATCGTGAAAACCCAAGTCAAGATTGTAGAGTTCTTGAATACCCTTATAAAACAATGACCTATTCTCGTATATTATTTCCCTGGCTAAGATATTAATTATTTCAGTTCTTTGTTGACCATAACCCGGCTCGATCATAACGTCTTCGTAAAATTTAACAGTTTGACTAAAAACTGTTTCCCAGGGTGTCGGGTTCCAATTCAAATGTAACTCAGCTTTTGTGACATTTATTGGTCCCTTTTTGACCGAAGGGAAAAGATAAATTGCATTGTTTGATTCATCCAATGTGTAATTGAACTTTGAGTCAATCGTTCTTTCTCTGATGCCATCAAATAATTGATTCAAAGTTAATGTTTCAGGGTGAGCGAGATTAAAAGCTTCATTTTTAATAGTTTCAAATCTGCTTTCATCCAAGGCAATGATATTTAAGATAACCTTTGCAACGTCCTCCACATAGACTAGACTCATAGGGTAATTGTTGAGATATCGGGGCAGTGATATTGTTTTATCAACATAGTCATTCATGCGAATCCACAGTTGATATATCCACCAGCGATACGTACTGTCACGTGGTCCAACTACATCCGGGAGCCGTAGAGCAACGTACGGGAAGCCACCCTGTTGTACACTCTCACTCAAAACCTCTTCGCCTTGTAATTTTCTATTTCCATAACTATCTTTTGAACTCATTTCTTCCCGAATGTCTTCATCAGTTGGTCTAACAGCGTCAGTCTCAACTGATGGACCATCATGATTCTTAATACAAACTTCGTATACAGAATCTGAACTGATGTAAACGTACATTCCAACATTTTTGGCCGTGAGTGTAGATATAGCCTGTTGAACTTCGTACGGTCCGTAAGCGCTAAAATCAACAACAGCATGTAACTTCAACCCTTCTAGTTTATCAAGTAGCTCCTTGCACCCTCTTAATGGCTTCTTTCTGTCACAAATGATGCTGTGGACGTGAGGCTTTATTCTGTACCTAGAATCCCAATACCAATTTCCCCGATTCACTATGGTAACCGAGTATCCATCTTGTATTAACCCTTGTACTGTCGATGCCCCCATAAATCCATTTCCTCCAAAAACAAGCACATTCTTCCCCGAACCATCAACTTTCTTTTCGCCACTGAGGTATCCTGCTTTACAAGTCTCAATCAAGGCGAGGGCAGCTCCAAGGAAAACAATATTCCACGTACATGTATGTCGACCTATCATCTTTTTTGTTCCAATCGATCTTAAAACTATTGTAGATAAGTCCAATCATGGGTTTAGCTTTCCAAATGTTTATAATAAACAACTAAAGCTCAGTTCGTTTCTCTGCCTTGCTTAGAATTTCCGATCTATTCCCATATCAGCAATGCGGTCTAAACTCTGGGCAAAACGTTCTAGCTGGTAACACCTAGTGCCTAGTGGTAAAGTTCAGATAAACATATCTTCCCAAATGATAAGAGAGCGCCTATCAACAGGGAGGTAAATGTAAGGCCGGGTTAACATGAACTTAACTGAGGTCATAAAACAAACTGCCTTGTTAGGATTATTATCCAACTGAACGTACAGTAGTTCCCGAGGGATATAGACTAGAGAAACCCTCCGTCCGTCCGTCCGTCCGTCCGTCTGTCCGTTCGTTCGATCGTCCGTTTAACCCTAATGTTTGCAACCTTTTTTATAACACGCACGCACGCGTTTCGTAACTACTTGGCGATTAACTGTTTTTTACCTTTAAAATTTCATAACGCAATCAATAGTGGCTCGATTTTCATGAAATAAAGCATATTGGAAAGGAAATTCAATCTGCTAAATTATCATTTATCAAACAGAGCATTAATCAACCTTTTGCATTTTCTGGAGCATTAGAAACAAAGTAACAATCAATATTTAATGACTTTTAATTTTATTGGTATCACGTTCCAACTATCATAACTTTAGCCCTCTACCCCCAATCTTTTACACCAAAAAGTGTCTTGCATCGGTGGCTCTAGGTTAAAAAATATCAGAGACGCGAAAATTGCAATAAGTATTCGAGAAAAAATCGAGAGGGGAGGGTCGGATTGCCCCCCTTCCCCCCTCCTCTACAGACATTAGGGTTAATCCGCCCGCCCAGACATATTTCATGGAAATGCAATCTTTGATATTCCAAATACCAGTCAACGAATTTGGTTGATATTGTGCATGCATATGTAGATGCTTTGGAGACATATTATCGATACATTTCTTTACTTGCCAAGTTTACATTGGAGTCTGCCCCCCCCCCCCCATGTCCGCCACTGTATTTGAGGATATAAGAATTTAAAGACAGACTTTCTGAACCACCTGGTTGCTCATTAGACCTTATAAGGCAAGACACATCCATTAGGCTTGTCAACCAAATCTTTATCCAATCAGCTAATAGTGATGCTTTATGGGATAATATTTATGTTTATAAACATAACAAAAGCACATGTTATAATTTCATACTTTACAGTCAGTGAACATGAACTGAATAAAGGAATTGACCAACATTTTTTTAACCAAGAGTCTTCATACATTTTGTTATGCTTGCTACATAGATTTTCCAGTTAATGTATGTAAAGTAAATGTAGGTCTCCTTTAGGTAAATTGATTCATGTTCTAATAATCCCTAACATCTAATTAAATTTGATATCATAAAGCAATTGCTTTTGGGGTCATTTCAAGAATTAAATGTAGAAACCAGCACAAAAGCTTGAAATGTATGGGAAATTCTGTACAATTTGAAAACTTGTATTGGTTCTTTCATCTGGTCCCTACCTACCACAAAGGGTTGTACTAAGTCATGTCCTTCATTTATGCAATACTTCTGCACTTTTCAACCTCTATTACCATGTTGTACCAGGGTGTCTCCAAATTTGAAATTGATGATCTTTTATATTTATGTAACCATATGCAAATGGTAAGAGATAATGAATTGTCCCATTTCCTAGGGTTGTTCCATATGAGACCCATTCTTATAAATTTTCTCTAAGGTAAAAACCTTTGTAAACAGGTTTTTGGACAAATGGAACATCAAAAATAGTGAATTTGTCCTTGTGTTGTTCAGGAGACCTCATTCTTACACAGTCATTATACAGTGAACATGTCTCAACCATCAGAAAAATAGAGTGCTGATGTTCAAGATTGAACTAACAGGATATGAAACAATAAATTAAAGACAGAGTTATCTTGACTTACCGAAAGTACTCGTAAAAGCAAGTTTGAGCAAAAAGAAACTTTTGTAAAATCATCAAACTCTAGAAAAGGCAATAGATGAGTTTCTTATATCAATGTTAGCCAAGTGAACCATGGTCAAGTACTCATTGTAGTAATCTCAAGTCTTTGGAACAGTACAGTTATCTTGAAGTCTTTTACATCAAGCAAATACATTGGATTTTGTAATTATATAATGTCTTTGGAGTCATATCTTTAATATACCATATGTAGGTAAGTAAATGACACATTTCTTATGATTAACAGTAGTATGAATTATGTTTTATTGAAATGGTACTTATAACATGTGCTTTTGAAAGATTTACAAACAAACCTTACATCATGTGACCCTGAATACCTCACCTCATTGGTTGAAATTTGAATTAGGCCACTCCTCTTAATTAAAAAAAATACAAATTTTCAAATAAGGATTTCTAAAAAAGTAATGCGTAATTGCAATAATTGATAAATAGATTTCAAGGAGAATGTATTCATAAACATCTGTGACAATTTTTATGGTGATCTGTTGGCTACAACTAACAGAAAATCAAAATTATTCCTCTTGATTAGAATTTTTCATATTCCTAATATTTTCAAATTTAGAATGACTGCTTTTCTAGTGGAGGCTCTGCCCGGAGGCTCTGTCTTTAAGATCTTTCCTCAGATCCACAAGTACAGTATTGTTTGTTTAATTTGTTTAATTAGAATCTGGCCAATGTAACCTCTGAGAGACTGAGTTGGCAACTGATACTTCTCAAATCACAAAAGCCTAGCATTGACAAAATAAACTTATCTGACCAATCTCCTTTATCTAAATACAATAACACCCCTCCATAAGTTTAGCAACTGGCCGTTTTCATTAGAAACCATATCAGAGCCTGTCAATTTTTGTCAATTTAAATACAATAGTTCGGAGCTTATGAGGAATTTGATGATTTTTTTAATCGCAGAACATTTACAGGGCATCAATGATAAGTAATTTGAATAGAGACTTCCGGCTAATAATAGATGGGGGGGGGGGGGTGTAACTCAAACTTCTAAGAGGGTTAACTGCAGTCATTTCAAGAAATAAAAGCTGAGAATGATAACAAGTTCAATATTATCTCATAATATAGTTTAATAAACTTCGATTTGTTGGGGTCTTTTAATCAGTGAAAACTGAAGAGAATGCTAATTCGCATCGGGGCTGAGAGATGACCAATTCATCGATGGCAATACCCCGATGTGAAAGCTATAAGAATTAATCATTATACACAATATGGTGCTTTGCGAATGGAACCATTCTAGAGTATGGTGCTTATCATTTGGAATACGATCCTCCTGACCCCTGCAGAGCATGCTTTGGACGACATGTCCTATTACTGTAGCAGGATTTGAAGAGAATGCGAACCAACCCCAAAGTGTTACAAACATTCAACATCGGGGGATTGATAATGAAGAGTTTGGCTTTTATGATTATGAGGAATTCCAGGTCAGCCCATTCTGATACTCATCACGTCTTTCTGTCTTCAACCAGAAGTATACTAGTGTGAAGCTAATAGAAGGCCATGGTATCTCATGATGATGAGGTCAGCCATGGTGCCATCATTAAATGTAATCAAATATACCACAATCTAACTTTAACTACTTGTATAAAACGTAATCATTGTCTGTTTCTATGTTGGACACTTTGCTTTCACATTTAGGACGTCGATTTATCACAAGTCACACTAATAACTTCGTGAGTCATTCTCTTCAATCCGTTCTAATTTCAAATTCATGAAATTATTTTTTCTCCTTGTAGTTTATAGTTTACACATTCCTCTTAATGTTTGATATGATACTACAGAAATGATTTATAAAGCAATACGTACTCATTTCATTTAACTGAGAATACCATATTCCAAGACTGATGAATATATTTCAAAATTTGAGAGCAATTATTATAATTGTTGTATTTTGTCGGCAAATATTGAAATGAGATATGGATTACCAAATATGAATGGAGTTAAAGTTTATAGAACAGTTCAACTTGGATTGATAACGATTTTAGTATCTTTCTTTCACAGAAACACAGGATCTGGATTGTAAATATTTAGAACACTAATCGCCATACCGCAATGAAGTCAGCCAAAGAAAACTATTAAATGCTACATGGACTTCATCAAACAATCGCAAGAAGGAAGTAAAATGTAGGGATGTGGATGGGCTATTTAAAGTTGTATCGTTATCTTATGGATATGTGTTACGAAATGAAGATCAGATTAAATGCATCAATAAGGAATCCAATTCACAGACTGTATTAGTGATGGCTAAAAGCACTATATATTTCGGATTGGTTCTTGTCATAGTCTTTTCTCAGGAATCACACGCACAAAAAGCAGCCACGGTAGGTGTTGGTAATTGAAGGGTGAGGGTGTCATTAGTGGTGCTATATCTCTTAAACCTCGATTCTTGGATAAGGCATGCGGGTTTAAAATATAAACTGTAATATGTTTCAGAACATTTGTTAATTTTAACTCATTAATTATAACGTATTTCAAGAAAATTATAACTTTGTATATAATGGAAATAACCATTTTTAAGGAATATATTCTGCGAGGGTCGATTGCCTCATAATCTGTGTGTTTATTTTTTAGAGACATTAAAACAATAATATTTACTTTAAAATAAATTCATGATACGCAAATATAAATTCACAATTAAAAAGTAGATTTTACATAGTAGGCTACTTGGACAAGAATGCCTTCTTCGTGCAATTGGCAACTGCTTTGCAATTGAATTACTGGCTTACCATAGAAGTGCTCTCGGGGACTATAAGGTCAGGCAAAGAGGACAGAGACCGGTCGTGAAAACCGTGAATTTCAATGAATGAAAAAAGGGGGAGGGGATCAAAGCTAAAGCTCTGAGGGTTCCCCCGCCCCATGCATGAAAATCAATTGAGAGACAATAAAAATCCAGTTATCGTAAAATTTAAGAATTAGTAAAATCCATTTCTCTCAGTATTACAGTTACATAATATCAACATAATTAGGGACATTTTTGATATTTCAGTCTAATGTTCCGGGTCCATTGTCAGACGAGTTTTACATCGATATTTTACGAATCTTTTTTCCCACTGTGCACCGTGTTGGGTATTTTCCAATAGACAACTGGCAAAGGACGATACGTGCAGCGCAACGAGCGTCTTTAGTGAAGAACGACCAGAGAAGCAGGCGTCGTAGAGATACTTATGCCAGAAATTATCATCCTGATGCCCACGGGCGGTTTTATTCGGACGAAACATTTAAACTAGAAGCACCCATGAGACTCGATGAACTGAGTAGGTGATTGTATATTAAACTTGATGTTTCATTTTATAGAGCACGTTAGAACACATTTGTGAAATCGCAAAATTTAACCGCTATGGGAAATCATGTTTCTTTTTTTCTTTTTTTATTCCTTTTTTATTCATTGAAAAAACATTTGATAGCAGTTACATTAACATATACAATATACATAATATCAAAGGAGTCACACAATTTTCCACCATATTCTTTTTAAGGCATCTAACCACACTATTCTAGTGTAATCTAGTACCCATAATTTCCCACTTTGAGAAAAGCTCACAATCTCTTGAACGCCCATGCTTTGATATACACACTCTGATATTTATTTTCAAATTGAATAAAATATCTAGGGATGATTCATATAACATTTACTCAATAGACAGATTGACAAGTAATCTTACCGATATCTTTGAACAAAAGTTGTGTGTAAAGTATATCATGTATATATGTACGTTTGTCATTGAAACTTTGTGTACGCTCCTTACGATGTATCGAAGTATATAGAAACTTAAGTATACAGTACATAAATTTTTCATTTTCAGGAAGGTTATATGACAAAAACAAAAACGAAACAGATTCAAATGACTTCACTAGATGTAAGAATCCAATTCCATTTGTATACGACGTTCGCAATCTTACAGGTTCCCCAAACAAGGTCTACCATCCCGAATGTGTTGTTCTTCACCAATGTACCAAGTGGTCAGGTTGTTGCGAGACAAGCGGAGTTCCTTCCAAGTGCGCAGCTAACGTTGATAAAATTGAAACGATCACCAAAACATACATGGTAATGACTGGTTCACATTTGCTGCGATACATCGGCCGCCTGCGCCCGGCCTATTGAGTTTTATGTTTTTCAAGTTTTATATTTTTAATGTCCATTAGTTTTTTCCAAGCTTTCTTGTTTATTAGTTTTTCAATATACCGTTTGTGCCTGGTCAAAAGAACATGTATGACTAACATTTTGAACTATTGCTATTAATTTAATATCACTACATTTGGCAAATCTATTTGATAAAAGGAAAAGAATATTTCAAATATATTACGAAAATGCAATTGTAGGTAAACGAGTATCTAGGAAGGGACCGCCAACAAATTCGTGCGTTGGAGACATTGCAATTTGAAAACCACACTGAATGTTTCTGTAAACCAACAAATTCACCACCACCGTAAGTTATACTTATGTACAAGTTCACATGCAATACACCAACATCACATGCAATACACCAACATCACATGCAATACAACAACATCACATGCAATACACCAACACGGCAGGATATTTTACTAAATGTTTACATTAATTTACGGTAAGTTCACATTAAGTCATTCTAAATGTTTACGTGCATTCTACCACTATGGTAAGTTCACGCTAAGTGATACTAAATGCATGGAATTCGCCCACACGGTAAATCATATACAAACTAGGAAGTACATTCTAACAAAAAAACTTATGATTAAAAGGTCAAACGACAGTATGGTTACTCATCCAAAATGTTTACATGCAAGTAACAACAGTACGGTAACTCATATTACATATTTACATGCAAGTACACTCCCCTCCATAAGTTTGGCAACCTTAGCTCCCCCATTGAACTACGTGTTAAAGCCTCTTTACGTTTGAATTTTTATTCACTCAACCTAAGATGAAAAAACGTATAATATTGATGGAAACGTAACTTGATTTTAATTCCAATACCTTCAACTTTTCCCAATTATTTTCCTCGATTTCAATAGGTCGAAAATTGATGATAAGTTTGATGAAATTTTGCAAATCGTCATTCCCATGTAAACCAATGGGAAATGGTGGGTTCGGGGCAAATCAGAAATCAGGATACCTTTTCAGTAAAAGATCCAGCAAAAATATTTTGATATAGAAAATTGAATTGTCTAACTTTTTTGTACACTAAGTGTTTAGCTTACTTGATGAATACTAAAGTTACAGAGCTCCAAAGTCATTTTTGAAAATCATGTTTCGCCTCCTGTGTTATTTCAATGGTCAAGTTTTTTGCAAAATAATTTTGACTTTTAAGACCTATTATTTTGCTGATCCTGAAGAAAGGTATCAATTTTTTGTTAGATAAAGTTAGCAAATTCAATTGCCTACACAACTTGTATTTTTGCGAGGACTTGGAGTGATGGATATTCTGTCACATGACTTGCGGCAAACCTACCATTTCCATGGGTTAACATGGGAATGTCGATTTTCAAAAATTCATCAAATTTATCATCAATTTTCGATCTATTGTAATTGAGGAAAAAAATTGAATAAATTTGGAGGTATTGGAAATAAGGTCAAATTACGTTTAAATTAATAGTATAAGTATTTTCATCGCAGGTTAAGTAAATAAAAATTCAAACGTAAAGAGGCTTTAGCACGTAGTTCAATGGGGGAGCTAAGGTTGCCAAACTTATGGAGGGGAGTGTAACAACAGTACGGTAACTCATATTATTATACTAGAGAGATTTCGCACATAAGTGAAAGTACAACTTATACGTATACGTATAGTTTAAAGGGTCATGTCGAACTATTATATTTACTAAAATCAATTTTAAATTGTACTTAATGGAACATAACTAATTCCGTTATAGAAAAGCTCTATCAACTAGAGACTATGAATGCACTGCCATCTGCACGTGTAGATTATGCACATTATAATAAATGCTTGCTTCCGCGTCCGTGTAGTTGTAGTGTATTATAAACACGATCCTTTAAAGGGAGTCACGATTCTTTAAAGTGAGTCATTACATAAACAAGTTGATTATTTCAATGTTTTCATGATCAGTATAAGTTCAATGAACTTACAAAACGGTATATTTACGTAGATGATAACGTATACAGTTGGATCTCCGTATAAAGATTTGCCTACATGTGTGTGGAACAATTGACCGCAAGCATTTTTTAAAATTAATTGGCTGAGTGGGAACAGTATCCAATCAAATACTTTAACCATCAATTTGAAACACCAATCAAACCAGTAGGTTCTGGTAAATCCTGGAAACGACCCATTCAGTAGCTCAACATATGACATACAGGGTGTTTCATAACGAGCATCTCCAAAAAGTCAATTTGAGAAGAGATGGGTCTATAACATATGTACTATATATGAGCCTATTTTATTCTAGACAAACACATTTGGATCAACTAAACATGCTACAATTCAAGAAAGTACAAATGGCATCCCTTTGACCTGTATTTATTACAGTCCGAGAAGATCTTTCCTGACGAAAAGCTCACATTATGAAACACCTTGTACGTTTACCTATAAGTATAAGTATACGTTATAAGTTGTACTTTCACGAGGTGCGAAATCTCTCTACTATTTACATGCAAGTAACCCATCGTAAAATGTATACAATCAACCAAGACGAAGTCGTACTAAATGTTTTTGCAATATTTACAACCTGCCTCGGCGTTAAGGATTCTAACATTAACATGTAATTAATTGCATCGCACATATATATTCTATTTAGTGTTCACTTGTACTTTCGTAGGTGTAAAAAGTGTCCATGGCCATTTATTCAAAGTCACGAAATTGGTCCCGAATGCTCATGTAGATGCAGATATAGCAATGATGTCGAGTGCCGTGACATCTCTCTTGGAAGAAAGCCTCTGAACGAGGACGGACTCATGTAAGAACCGTTCAGTATAAAATATGTTGCAATTGACCAATTGACCAGTGAATCAGTCCCATCATTGCTTATGATGCCATTTTACGATTAACACCAGATTAAAGATAAACCTTTTAACATTTCCACAATTTTAGTCAATACACATTACTTTCTTTCAATCACCAAAATCATTCAAGATTCCAGTATTGGGAGAATACATACGTGTAGGATGTTTTAACTTTACAATTCATTCCTCAGCTTAGGCCTTAAATACATTCTTTATTTCATAAATCATATTTGTGTGTTGCTCTCAATCTTGATCAATCAAATCATTTGGCTAAAGGATTTACACTTCATCGAGTTCATAACATGCGTTAGTATTTTTAAATCAAGTTTTTTTTATAGATGCATTAAAAAGAAGTTGTGTCTTCACCCCGATTGTCGATTTGGGAGCTTCAACGTCTTAACCGGCCGTTGCAAAGGAGAGTTCCCTAACTACGGCGACAAACAGGAGCAAAGTGGCGATTACGACATCAATTACGACATCAATTACGACAAAAATGACGTAGACTCTGAAGATGATAGTGTTGAGGAAATTGATTGGGCTAAGGAAGAGAATGTAGATGATGCTGGGGAAATGGATTTAGATTCGGATGAGGATACAGGAATAGACGATTATCATTCGGAATCCTCGAGTTATAACAATTTGGATTTTAATCATGATGACCCTAACAGTTTTAGACACTATTTTGAAGTTTTCCGAGAAGAAGACGAGGATGATGTCGATTTTAGCATCGACGATGGTTTGGATTTCCGGCCAGAGAAATCCCCCAATTTATTAAAACTGCTTCAAAATGATTTTAGAGCACTGAAAATATGGTTGGAGAGAATATGCAAAATGCAAAGACGCTACAGAGATATATTTAATGAACATAACAGAATCGTCACTGAAAACGAACAGCAGATCCTGGACATGTGCAAATATGTAGGCCAGTCATAATTTACGATAATTCTATCTTAAATGCATGCGGATTTGTACGCTTGTGTGGAAACCAAGTGTGAAATGAAGAACAAATAATGTAAAAGATGTCGCAGCTGAATATGTGAAACCCTATTAAACTATCTGTTAAACTAAAGGACAAATACTGTAGCTATGATATTGGTTAACTCTTCGGGGGATGAATAAATTGATTATTTGTTTTTGAAAACCTGGTGCAAAACCTAATATTTGATTGAATTTAAAGGTGTTTGCAATAAATACATCCCCGTATGTATGCGTTCGTTGATTCATAAAGATGGCAGTCGTTCGTTGATTTTTGATATATTCTGTTGTATTGAATAAGATGTAAATTGCTGTTCAATTTTAGATTTTTGAGCGTGTTATATTTATGTTATAAAATGAGTTAAACGCTTGTTTCTAATCTTACAGAAAACAGAATTGAAAAATCGGATTGATTGATTCAACACGCTACTAATTGGGAAGCGGATTTTGGTGAAACAAAATCAGTTTGGTTCTTTCAGGAGAGAAAACCTATTTTCAACATCAGGCTGTTTCAAAAAAGTGACAACACTTTTATGTAATGTAACCAACGTATGCAATTCTCTGGAGAGTCCTCAAACAAATTGCTGTCCAAAAGTTTCTCCATGCAAATGAATAAAACAATGATTGTATTCAACCACAAACGAATGCCCAAACACCCGCAATATTAGAGAATTTTAAAGAAAACGGCTTCGCTAAGAATGACTCTGATTGAAGTTCATGATCTACGTCATCAATATATTACGTCATCATAAACTTTAGTTAGAGTCATTCTAAGGGAAGCTTTTTTCTTTAAAATTCTCCAATATCGCGGTTGTTTGAGCATTTGTTCATGTTTATTTACCATCGTCGCTTTATTAATTTATATGGTGAAACATTTGCCGAATCCAGATTCAACTTAGTTAAACTGAAATCGGAGGTTTTTATCAAAAACGAACGAATTTGGCAACCATCTTGAATGAGGCTAACTGCAGTCAGAGTCAACCAGCTGTGGAACAGTGATTTTGCCAGCTTGATCATTACAAAAAGTTTCATCGAAAAAATATATGTTCTTTTCGTGATTTCATATGTTTTAGATGATTTTGTAGAAAATGAATGAAAATGAATTTAAGCCCAAGACTCAATGCATTGTGTGACGACCATTCCTCTCAGGCGTTGTTTCCTAAAATGAACACCGGATGCTCCGCATTTCGTGCAAATTTCTAAAAGCAACACCTTCAAGGAATGGTCATTATCCCACCGAACGAAGTTCGAGGGGGATATAGAAAAGCCGTCCGTCCGTCCGTTCGTCCGTCCGTTCGTCCGTCCGTCCGTTCGTCCGTCCGTTCGTCCGTCCGTCCGTTCGTCCGTCCGTTCGTCCGTCCGTCCGTTCGTGTGTCCGGGCAATAACTCAAATACCGGTAGACGGATTTCATTCAAATTTTATAGGCTTATGCCTTATGGGTGTAGGACCTCTGCTCGAGAAGGAATTTTCAATATGGCCGCTTAATTCAAAATGGCGGCCATTTTTCGGAAAAAATATAATCTTTAATAACTCAAATACTAGTGGATGGATTTGGTTCAAATTTTATATGCTGTTGCCTGGGTACAAAGGAGCCTTGCTCAAGAAGACATTTTCAAGATGGCCACCAAATTTTAAAATGGCGGCCATTTTCGTAAAAAAACGTTATATTTGATAACTCAAATACAATTGAATGGATTTGGTTCAAATTTTAGATGCTGATGCTTAGGGACATTGGAGCTCTGCTTGAGAAAGGATTTTCAAGATGGCAGCTAAATTTCAAAATGGCAGCCATTTTTCATAAAAAACGTTATCTTTGATAACTTAAATACCATTGAATGAATTTGGTTTAAATTTTAGAAGCCGATGCCTAGGGACATAGGAGCTCTGCTCGAGAAAGGATTTTCAAGATGGCAGCTAAATTTCAATTTTATATGCTGATGTTTAGGGAAAAAGGAGATCTGCTTCAGAAGGAATTTCAAAGGCATTAGCTGAATTTCAAAATGGCTGCCATTTTTCATTAAAAAAGTAATCTTTGATAACCCAAATACCATTTGATGGACATTCTCTGCTAAAGAAGAAATCTAAAGATGACAGCTGAATTTCAAAATGGCAACCATGTTTCATAAAAACATAATCTTTGATATTTCAAATACCAGTGGATGAATTTGGCTCAAATTTTTTATCAAAACATGTTTTGTTCGGTGGGATTTGCTACTCCGTGGAGTTGCTGTTTTTCTAGTTCCATATTGCACTGAGTCCAGGGCTTAAATCCTTAAGTTAATATCCCAAATTTTAATGATTAATCACAATATGTACATTAACAGGGTCTTTGTATTGTATTCCATTCAAATTTTAGACAGACTCAACCGAGACATTTTTAAATCATGGAACAAAGTCGCTTTTCGAAGATCTTAATTACGCATTAGGCAATGGCAGTCTAGCCCAAATAAAAAGCTGAATAAAAGATGGCAAAACTAGTTTTCATTTTTTTATTTAGCTATATAGAAATCTTATTGGCTATATGTCAGATAGTAATTAGTATTAAAAGGATACTATTGTATTAATTTGACAGTAAAGCATCATTATATTTACCTACTTTTTGCTTCCAATAGTATGGTAAACCAGACTCAATGCACTTGATTTCGTTTTCGAGGAATTGATTAAGTAAGATATATAAGGGTGGCGCTAGAGAGACCCGTTCACCAGACAAATGTATTACAATAAGATATAAGGGTGGCGCTAGAGAGACCCGTTCACCAGACAAATGTATTACAATAAGATATAAGGGTGGCGCTAGAGAGACCCGTTCACCAGACAAATGCATTACAATAACATCAGAGAGTTTTGAATTTTATATGTTCTTGTTCAAGGTAAACGTTCTCTGATTAGTATAGTAGGAACAAGGGGTTCCCATGCACCCATAAGGTGTGAATAAGTTACATACATTTTTGTAATCCCTAGGGTGTCTATTTAATGAATTCATTTGTTAACATTGCCAACTAATGTCCCATAGTACTTTTATGGTGCCATTCAGTTACCATGGTTACGCATCTTTAGACATCTTACCTTGTTATCTTAAATCATTTGTAGCTCTGTCATTATTTGGTCTATAGAAATGATATTGGTACCAAATTGAACCTCATTAAATTTCCAATAAATTTCTGATATTCAATTATGCAAATTATCTAATTTGCATAAATTATGACGTCATCAATCTATTTTTGGTTCAGAATTTTCAACTATAGCAACGAATCTATTAGAACTGAGGCCGTATGGCAAAATTTCTGAAAGGTTTTGTCCTTTATTCTATTAGTAGAAGGTATGAGCAACATAAAAATGAAAACAGATTCAAAATTGAATCAGTATTACGAAAGTTATGTAACTTTCGAGGCAGCTATCGTGAATGTCATTATTTGACAATAATATACATTACGTCTTACCTTGGAGTCTTGAATCAATGTAGCTTCGCCATTATTTGGTCTATAGAGATGATATTGGTATCTGATTAAACCTTATTAAATTTACTATATGGTTACAATATTCAGTTATGCAAATTAGCTAATTTGCATTAATTGTGACGTCATCAATCCATTTTTGGTTCAGAATATCCTAGTGTAGCAACATATCTATTAGAACTGAGGCCTTATGACAGAATGTGTACATAGTTTTGTCCCTTATTTGATGAGTGGAAGATATAAGCAACATTAAAGAGACAACAAATCTTCAAAATTGGATCAGAATTAACAAAATTATCCAGCTTTGGAGGCAGCTACTGTGAACGTCATTGTTTGACAATTATAAAAAGAATATTAAATTAACAAAAAAAGTAGCAACCATAGTTGTTTCAATCTTATTGAGTAAAAATGTGCATGTATTGAACTGAACTAATAAGTATGTGGAAAGGTTACATGTATTTTGACTATCATTCACAGGGGTCAAAACGGTTATCTCGACCCTGTATATTAAAGATCCAATTTTATAATTTTCCATGCACTTTCAATGATTCATATAAATAGTATACATATAGTCTGATTTTCATCATATTCTTCATATTCTTGATTCTTAAAGCATCTGAAGTATAAAACATGATTAGAAGTGAAGATGATTCATCATATGGTTTATGTAATATTTCTAACATTTCAGATGCTATGGTAACATCACTTGATAATGAGGTTTTTACATTTCAGGTTCTTAATGAGTTAAAAGAAAGTTATTCTCCCTTTGCTTTAGAGAAAAATGGTCACATGAATTTGTTTAAAAAAATTATAACTTGATTTAACCCCCTCCTGACAGCCCCCATATTTGAAGATTTTGGTGAAACCTGGCAAAATACATTAATTATTAGGTTCCAGAAGCCCCTAGAAGCTATATGATGGCCCCCAGTGGCCCAAAGAATCTATACAGGGGCCCCAAGTGGCCCCCAGAAGGTATACGATGGCCCTCAGAAGCTATACAAGGGCCCCCAGAAACTATACTGTGGTCTCCAGAAGCTATATGGTGGCCCCCAGTGGCCATCAGAAGCTATATGATGGCCCCCAGAAGCTAATTAGTGGCCCCCAGGAGCTATATGGTGGCACCCAGAAGCTATACAGGGAACCCCAGTGGCCCCAAGAAGCTATACGATGGCCCCCAGAAGCTATACAGCAGCCCCCAGAAGCTACACGATGGCCCACTGTAGGCCCCTGTATAGCTTCTGGGGGCCACTATATAGCTTTCGGGGCCACTGGGGGCCACCGTATAGCTTCTAGGGGCTACTGGGGGGGCCCTTTTTGCTTCTGGGAGCCATTGGGAGCCACCATATAGATTCTGGGGGCCATTTTGTAGCTTCTGGGAACCACCATATAGCTCCTGAGGGTCACTATTTAGCTTCTGGGGGCCATCATATAGCCTATGAGGGCCACTGGGGGCCACCGTATAGCTTCTAGGGGCTACTGGGGGCCCTTCACATCTTCTGGGAGCCATTGGGAGCCATCATATAGATTCTGGGGGCCATCATGTAGCTTTTTGGGGCTCCTGTATAGCTTCTGGAGACCATCGTTTAGCTTCTTGGGGCCACTGGGGTCCCCTGTATAGCTTCTGGGAGCCACCGTATAGCTCCTGGGGGCCACTAATTAGCTTCTGGAGGCCATCATATAGCTTCCGAGGGCCACTGGGGGCCACCATATAGCTTCTGGAGACCATAGAATAGTTTCTGGGGGCCCTTGTATAGCTTCTGGGGGCCATAGTATAGCTTCTGGGGGCCACTGTATAGCTTTTTGGGGCCACTGGGGGCCCCTGTATAGCTTCTGGGTGCCATCGTATAGCTCCTGGGCGCCACAGGGTTTCCTGTATAGCTTCTGGGAGCCACCGTATAGCTCCTGAGGGCCACTATTCAGCTTCTGGGGGCCAACATATAGCTTCTGGGGAGCACAGTATAGCTTCTGGGGGCCACTTGGGGCCCCTGTATAGATTCTTTGGGCCACTGGGGGCCATCATATAGCTTCTAGGGGCTTCTGGAACCTAATAATTAATGTATTTTGCCAGGTTTCACCAAAATCTTCAAATATGGGGGCTGTCAGGGGGGGGGGTTAAATTAATTAAGTTATAATTTTTCCAAACAAATTCATGCGACTATTTATCTCTAAAGCAAAGGGAGAATAACTTCCTTTTAACTCATTAAGAACTTGAAATGTGAAAACCTCATTATCAAGTGATGTTACCATAGCATCTGAAATGTTAAAAATATAACATAAACCATATGATGAATCATCTTCACTTCTAATCATGCTATATACTTCAGATGCTTTAAGAATCAAGAATATGAAGAATATGATGAAAATCAGACTATATGTATACTATTTATATGAATCATTGAAAGTACATGGTAAATTATAAGATTGGATCTTTAATATACTGGGTCGAGATAACCGTTTTGACCCCTGTGAATGATAGTCAAAATGCATGTAACCTTTCCACATACTTATTAGTTCAGTTCTATACATGCACATTTTTACTCAATAAGATTGAAACAACTATGGTTGTTACTTTTTTTGTTAATTTAATATTCTTTTTATAATTGTCAAACAATGACGTTCACAGTAGCTGCCTCCAAAGCTGGATAATTTTGTTAATTCTGATCCAATTTTGAAGATTTGTTGTCTCTTTAATGTTGCTTATATCTTCCACTCATCAAATAAGGGACAAAACTATGCACACATTCTGTCATACGGCCTCAGTCCTAATAGATGTTGCTATACTAGGATATTCTGAACCAAAAATGGATTGATGACGTCACAATTAATGCAAATTAGCTAATTTGCATAACTTAATATTGTAACCATATAGTAAATTTAGTAAGGTTTAATCAGATACCAATATCATCTCTATAGACCAAATAATGGTGAAGCTACATTGATTCAAGACTCCAAGGTAAGATGTAATGTATATTATTGTCAAATAATGACATTCACGATAGCTGCCTCGAAAGTTACATAACTTTCGTAATACTGATTCAATTTTGAATCTGTTTTCACTTTTATCTTGCTTATACCTTCTACTAATAGAATAAAGGACAAAACCTTTCAGAAATTTTGCCATACGGCCTCAGTTCTAATAGATTCGTTGCTATAGTTTGAAATTCTGAACCAAAAATAGATTGATGACGTCATAATTTATGCAAATTAGATAATTTGCATAATTGAATATCAGAAATTTATTGGAAATTTAACGAGGTTTAATTTTGTACCAATATCATTTCTATAGACCAAATAATGACAGAGCTACAAATGATTTAAGATACCAAGGTAAGATGTCTAAAGATGCGTAACCATGGTAACTGAATGCCGCCATAAAAGTACTATGGGACATTAGTTGGCAATGTTAACAAATGAATTCATTAAATAGACACCCTAGGAATTACAAAAATGTATGTAACTTATTCACACCTTATGGGTGCATGGGAACCCCTTGTTCCTACTATACTAGATTCTTTTGTATTTTAATGTAAAAAGAGCTGAATACTTCAAAGGCGAGTGGTGAGCGGGATTGGCCCAGGGCTGGCTGATGTTGGATGTTATATTGCGATAGAGCAATCGTGATTTATAAATCTCCACAATTCCCATGCCAGATCTTTTATATCCAGTTATTAATAAAACAGAATCCCAATCTTCATGCATGGCACGATTGGCATATTTTGTTTCCATGTTCAAACAATCGATAGAATTATCCATCAGATTAGTGACTGTTTTTCATAAATTCGGTATAATTAAAACTCATGAGTTGTAGCTAAATAAGTGGATTGAAACTCTTTATATTTTACTTGCACAAATTTTGTATAAGGAATGAAAGATCTTTAACGTATTTAGATTATAAAAATACTCTCGAAACTACAACACTCGAAGGCGTGTCTCTGAAAATGATATCCAGAGGGACAGATCAGAAAAAGGGGTGAAATTAAGGCGTTTGGACCTGTCCGACCCCTTCAAATTAGCGTTTATCCGATTGCAATTGTTCTATTGAGCAAGCCACAACCATGCAAAGCAAAGCGACCTTCACATTATTAATAATAAGTATCTCTGAATATTATGTTTGCTTTTTATATAGCTATTTTGTTAATTGAACAGCAAACACTCAAGACCAACTAAACCATATCACATCTATTTTCAGTATTTTCTAAAAATACATTTTCTATTTAACGAGAACGCGAGTCCATGTAGTTTTGATTTTTAGACAAACTCACATCATTTATATTGAGAAAAATAATTAAAAAGGAGTCTGATGCATTCAACAATCGGACACTGAGAATTTATCTGACTTGTCGATTTCTAAATAACGACGTCGTGTTGGGTGATAGTGGCGTATCGATCACCGGCGTTGGTATATAATAGCTCACAATTCGAGTAGCAGTCTTAATTGCAACACAGTTCCTTCAGCAAAAGAGGACAATACTTTATTGGAAACACTAAAAGCGCACGACATTCACATTTAATAGCTTGGCGGACGTACATTAGTTTAACAGTGGGGAACTTTCTTGGAAGTTTTGGTGTAGAAAGTCAGAGAACATCGACGGGGGAACTTAACATTAATTGGATTCACCAAAAACATTCAAATGGATTTTGCTAAACGTGTAGTAAGATAGTACCCCTTGGAGTAGCTAATCAGAGAACGTCACCGCATGGATATTGAGACGGAAAGCTTCTACACAATATGAACACTATGAATTCATAATCGCGCAAAACTCTATTTCTGCGTTTTAAACTAATGGCACAGTGGATTGACACTACTTAAGACCAAACACGTATTTCTATGAGAACGATACATTGCGTAAAGTGATCTTTGGGAGTAAAAACTCGATTCTTACGGACTAAAACATCGGACGCCGTGTGACAGTGTGATATTCAGACATAAAATTCAGCAATATCCTTATATTTCTCCATTGCATTAACCATGTTTTTCAATAGATAGTCACAGGATGTGAATTGACGACAAGGATATCAATAACCGTCGCTTGGAATGATCAACAGCAAAACGAAATGAACTAACTAGTGACAGCTACGATTAAACATTTGGGATTAGAACACGGTTATCCCAATATCTTTACCGTATATTTGGATAACATTCAATGTCAAGCTTGTGAACACTCCAGTCTAGTAAACATTTCCCAAAGCAGGAGAATTTCCCTTGTTGGTTTGATTAAAAGCGACAAGGCATTTACAGAAGACATCTGAGAATACTTGAAGATTCTGGTAGAAGCACTCACTCACGGTGGATCACATTGCTACTACTCGATAACGAGAAGATTCTAAATAATCCATAGCAGTGTTTCTGTCAAGCGCTGACAACAGAGGCAATTATGAAGACAAACTTGGGCCTGTGTATAACACTAATATCACTACTGGAATCAGGTAAGAGTTTATTGTTTAGGATTAATAATAATATTAAACAAACTTGGGCCTGTATATAACACTAATATCACTACTGGAATCAGGTAAGAGTTTATTGTTTAGGATTAATAAGAATATAAGACAAACTTGGGCCTGTATATAACACTAATATCACTACTGGAATCAGGTAAAAGTTTATTGTTTAGGATTAATTAATAATAATATTAGACAAACTTGGGCCTGTGTGTAACACTAATATCAATACTGGAATCAGGTAAAAGTTTGTTTAGGATTAATAATAATATTAAACAAACTTGGGCCTGTATATAAAACTATTATCACTACTGGAATCAGGTAAACACACTTGGTCCTGTATATAATACTAGTTTCACAACTGGAATCAGGAGTTTATTGTTTAGGATTAATTAGGTTTTAATCCTGGCTTGCAGATTTTGAATTCAGCACGTACGAAAACCCTGTTCTCAGTATAATTTGGGCTGTAGCGCTAGCGTAGGGTATTTTACAGGCCCGTAGCCAGAGTGGTGGGATGTTCGGTGGGTTCGAAGGATTCATTAGAAAACATTAACAAAAAATGGTTTGAAATGCTTAGAATGCACCATATACAATTTAAATTTTAAACATTTCGGGTTGCAGTGATGCAAATCCCAAAAATTGCACCTCCCCTTGACATTTACGTGCTACGCCCCTGTACATGTGTGTTAACCTTTGGACTCATGCAATGTAGAGTATGTAAAATTAAAAATATTAATATATCGGGAATAAATAGGTGAATAAGACGGCCTGTTGTTAAAGAAAACACAAAATGAAATCCTACGCCAAGCAGGGGCGGATCTGGGAACCAACAAGGGGGGGGGGGGGCAAACTTGTGGTCTGAGAAAAAAACGTCCGCGCTTGCGCTGAAAAAAATTTTGGGCCCCAAAAACCCAAAAGTGGGCCCAAATTTTGAAATTTTGAGGCCCATTTTTTTCAAAATTTGGCCTGAAATTAAAAAACAAGGCATAAGAAGGCCAATTTAAGACCTAAAAGGCCTACTTTTTGGGGCCTTAAAGCCTTTTTTGGCTCAAATTTGTTTTTGGGCACAATTTTTTTTTCTGGGCCCACCAAAGATCCGCCAGTGCCAAGGGCTGATGTAAAACAGTCAGTCCACCCCAATTGGGATCGAATCCACGATCCCTCGCTTACAATGCGATTGCTCTGCCACTGAAATGATGAAGTTGTTTGAGACTTTTTAGGAGGCCATGTAAGCAAAGCTAGATCTGGACATTTCCTTTTTTCTGGAAATATCAGGGAATTTCATTTTGAAAAAGGGGTACGAACCCTGTTTTCATCATTCTGGGCACTTTTAAAGTGATTCTGGTTATATTTAGGCCAAAGTTGTCAAAAGTGAACTCCCTGGAATTTTTCAAAAAGTGAACCCCCTTGGCAAATCCTTGCTACGGGCCGTCGTAAGGTGCCGTGTTGAAGGGTAATGTGTTAGTGCATGCTGTTTCATGCATAATCATTATTAGAAAAGCAAGCTTGACGTTTTAAACATCTGCAAAAGCCGTAATTGCATTACCATTTCGCTCTGATCTTTTCATTAGCTCAATTTAATCTAAATTCTATTACAGTCATCCTCGTGTCCAATGTAGTGAAAAAACTCATACATTACACAGATATCAACTCAGCTCATCTGCACAATATCAAATAAAATAATTATCTCCATAGAACATTGTCAAACTTTTTTTCTGACTCTACAGTAAAAGGACACATAGTAATCATTGATATTTGATGATTCCTTCCGAACATCCGAAACGAATAGTTTATTTTCTTATTTTTCGGCATTGCTCAGAATGAGTACTAAACCAATAACTTAATTCCCCATTCCTTGCTCATTTTACGACATTTACTCTTGTCGTGTTCTGAACATGACCGATGTGACTTTTTCTTCCCAGGCAATATTTTCTAACTCAGCTTATCTCGAATGTGCAGCAAGTGGAAATTAATTTAGGAGCATTTAATAACAATAGCAAATTTGTTCTGGGTAGTCTCATTGAGCTAATCTGTTCCTCCTTAGACCTATAGATTCTGTTTTATTAAGTTATAGGGGAATCTTGCTACACTCCATTCCATAGGTTTAGCAACTGGAGTTTTTTTACATGAAAGACTCAATGTTTGAATCGTATTTTGTTCCTTAATAACAGGAGTTTGAAAATTTGTAACAAACCTGATGATTTTTTTGAATTGCCAAAACAGATAGGATACATGATTCCATACGTGATCCTAGAGAGATCTCTGGTTGCCAAACTTATAACGGGGGGGGGGAGATTGTATAACATGCGCCTTATAATACATGTTAGCTTTTGTGTACTGTATGATGAGGTGACTTGGGCATGTGATGTTTTTAGTGAAGAAGACGACCTGTTTTTTAATTAGACCAAAAATATTTTTAAATCAAATAGACACATCAGAATTTTACACATGAACAGCTATAAAGACACTAGACTTGGTGCCAAGCAAGGAAAAATCATCGCCAAATACATACGTATATCTATAGGCCTACACAGCATATTACATGAATAAATCAACAGCGATTAACCAGCACGAGTCTTCTTTTTTAGTTAACAAGTCAATACAAGAAAGATTGATGGAATCTGATATCACAAATTGGATTTACATCTAAGTGAATAGAGAGACACAATTATCATATCATATTCCATCTATTCATATAATATCAATTATCATATCATATAATATCAATTATCATATCATATGATTAACAATCATTTCTAGACAACTATTTTCTATTCTATTGTCAATTTTCCTATCAACGCTTAAGGCAGAATAGAAAAGGATCTGATAAATTGGCTCCTCAAAGTTGCTAGTTTGTTAATTCTGTATCGACAGTATTTGAACTAATGAAATTTGTTTTTTCTTCCAGTGTACGGTACAACCTGGTCGGAATGGTGGAAGTACGCGGATGGGATTTCAGGTGAGGGTAGTGTAACGGATATATTATATGACGTAGATAGTCACGTGTTCGAATTATCGATCAGTTTGATTGGTCAGCATCTTGCCTAAATTTGATTGGCTAATCACTTTGATACAATTGTCGCTACACTACCATCGTACATAGGTATTATGTTCGGCCACGTCAACAATTCCTTACAACTTTCCCCGATCATTTCAATTCAATAGTCGTACTTATTTGTCTTACTACATTCATGTAACAAGCACAATTTCTTAAATCCCAATTCTGAAATATCGACTAAATTTCAACAAGCCAATGAAGATATTACCGTGAGTCAAAACTGATTCTAGATTAGTCACTCATCGGCCTAACAGACCGTGATAAATAAATTAACAGTTCTGTATCATTATTGTTTTTTCTGTGAAGTCTCGAACAAACGTCAATAAAGATTTACTTTAGTTCTTTAGATGATTTACTCATACATTTGGAGAAACGTAATCTGATAATTCACTCACTGGAGCTTGGAAAACAATTATGACCAGGTTTAAATTCTTCGATTTATATAAGTCACAGTATCATCGAACCGTATCATCATTGTTTTCGGGTCTGATTTTAGAGCCGGGCGATTTATTACAAGAATTATGGAAATCGAATTTTGGACTTTTTATGATCGTTCATGGGAAATTGGATTCGCGATAAAAATATTTTAACAGTAAAATAATTATCTTTAATTGGATTGTGTGGTATTACCGTCATATGTTAGAAAAAGCCAATACTTTGATTGAATTCCAAAAACGTATCATTAACACTAGTAATCCCTCGAGGGTTAAGTTTGTCTGCAACGTTTAACACGAAATTGTGTTGATATTGAGAACAAACCTACTTGATAGACTCTGCTATCGAGGCCAGCAAGGAAATGTAATTAAATACAGGTCTAACTTATCCAAATTTGTAATTCTGTAATACTGATATATACCCGAGCGAGTCGATTATCCATTGATCAATATTGAAAAAACATTGACCACAAAAGTGACTACACACAGCAAAACTCGATGGAGTTACACGCTGTTATTACAATTTGCTACTGTTGAGCATATCCGAAACGGAACAGTTCTTTGTGAGAATTATTAATCGATCAAACCATTATAATGATTTGACCACCTATTCCAAACTATACCGGTGTAAAAGAAATTATGGTCCCCTGGGAATTATGGTCCCCTTTCCTTGCGGCCCTTACTGGCCCTGACTGTGTATAAATAATAAGGAAAATAATTTTAATTAGGTCACCATATAAATCAATAGAGAGTAGGAACAAAATTTGATAGGACCACCTACCCTTTTACACCTGGTATGAAAGAAATTATGGTCCCCCAGGAATTATGGACCCCTTTCTTAACAGCCCTTTCTGGCCCTGATTGTGTCTAAGATAATAGGGGAAAGAGGTCACCATATATCAATGAAGAGTAGGATCATAATTTGATAAGACCTTCTACCCTTTTCCACCGGGTACTGTTGGGGTCATTTAGATCTCATTAACATCGACAATGTTTTTATTTCTTGTATTCAGATCCCAATGGACTTGGTTTTGAAACCAATGGGATAATTTTGCGTATCCTATCAAAAAGCATCATTTCAAAAGTTAAAAGGAAATGAAGAACGCCGATTGGTAATTATAACGCGGAAATAAGCGAATTGTTAAAATATGGAAACAAATGCGCTCAATATCAGCATTTCTATATCTCAACGTAGAATCAATTTTTGGATAAGTCCGACTTAGTTGAATTTGAATCCCCTTTCCTTTGTCGCAGTCCCTTTGAATTTGCCTGTAATAACTTCTATCGACTTCACGCTGGCACCCTGTTTTAATAAAGATATCTGAAGTCTCTGATTGAAGAACATAGAAAGTTAGATGAAGCGTTTGTCAGATCACACAATGTATAATATTCCTAATCAAATATAGAATGAAGCTAATCTCTAAGTTATTTCCTCCAGTGCTAGAATAAGCTCAACTGATATTACCAATCTTCATTGTAAGACTTGTCTAGTCATGTTCCATTTATGTTCTTTGGGCTTTTGACATTTACATGAAAAGAGGGTTGCTATATTTTTAGATTTTATTTTCATAATAATATTTTATTCAAAGCAAAAAGAGAGAACAACAAAGTAAGAACAAGTCTCTGGAAAACAGTGTCTCAAATTGATAAACTTTCTGCTCATAACTAGCCCGTCTATTTATTGAAAGCCTATATTGAATCCATTTAAAGAAGGTGGACTTGCACTCTTCAGTTGGAATGGACTTTGTATTTAAGATCTTCAATGATTCGATGAAAATTCACATTACGTTTCATATAACGAGATCACGATTTCACTGACACATGAGATAAAACATTGCCTCCAATATTCCACACTCTTAACATTTTACCCATCCCTGTCTTTAATTAAAATATTGTTTTACATTTTACACCATTCTTTTGCATTGTGTGTTACAGCGTAGGTTTGAATTTCTGAATCTCTTAATATATTGCTTTATAATATGACGTTTATTTTATATATTTTGTGCCATTCAAACATTGGCCTTCTACGGGCTATCAAATTATCCCAACGGCAACATAAATATAACTGGGCTGTATTCACAAATTAAACCGTGATCTCGTGCTGAAATGCCCTACCCATGGCCCAATGTGTTTTTTCCGTTCATGTCAGTGTCGCACAAACAATGTTTTCTGTCACGGGATTGAATTAATCTACTTACTATAATACTTACATTGGAGTAATTAATTGATTTTGTTTAATACGTTATTAGATGACACTGTAATTGATTTGTGTTTGTAAGCTGCCGATTGACATCAATTGTACATTAATTGGCATAAATTGAGAAAGACATGACATGGAAGAATTGTTTCTCTAATTCGGTGTGTTTTCCTTTGTGGCATTCTTAGGGTAATTATTACAAAAAAATAATATTTGGAAAATTAGTTAGCATGCAAACATATTATAAATGCCATCAGAAAATGGGTCGATTAAATTTACTCGTAATGTTTTAAAAATCCTTATAAAAACAAAATATACAGGGTGACCAGAAAAAAAGTCGACCTTTGTTTTTTCATTCAACTTCCACATAAATGCCACGATCTGTTCCATTTGTGGCACAGATGTACATCAGTCAATGCATAACATTTTGCCAGAGTTGTTATGTATAATCTGCCAGGTATCCATGATCGCACGGTATTCGTGATACAGGTGAACATGCAGTCAGACAAGTGGTGCTTTACGACATCATGTCGGAAAATGTCATCAATGTCGTAATTATGACTATGGTCTATAAAAACTCCAATTTTATTCAACTAAGATCTCAAAATAACTATACTATATGTTTATACCATACTATGCTTTACTCTATACTAAACGATACTATATTCCACGAGTAAGCCGAAACACAAACTATCGCGTGAATCGAAATTAGGTACATCTAAATGTTGATCTTATCTTTAGCTAAACGTCAGAAAAACATGAAATTGATTTTGTTCAGAAGATTTGGAATAATGTCATATTTGAAATGCTTAAGTCAGTGGATACGGATTATTGGAATACGTACCTGAATATACTGACAATCGCATTTTCCTTCTTAAACTGCATTATTTTCTCGTCGAAGTAAATCAATACAATCCAGATTTTACTCTTTTCCGGCGTTCGATTTTGCTCTGATTCTTTAAATTCGAGTTTTAATTTTCGAGTTACCCATCAATTAACTATATATATGATTAATCATATTTCAATAGTGAATAGTCAGAAAATCACGACGCTTATTTTCTCAAAAAGTTTAGATCCAACTGACATCATACTCCTCTTAAATACCACGGGAACTACTTTAGACATCTTTTCAGTCATACGCAGAGGATAGTGTGGAAACCGTTTGTAAAAGGGTAATCAATACCCGGATATAAATCATGCTCTCTGTGCTAAGTTATCTAATTAAGAGGATATGATGTTTGGGAGATAATGACAGACGTTCCTGTACTCCCTCATATACCAAATACAGCATCGATAAATCACTGAACATAAAAACCAAGAGCATCCTTGGTACAAAAAACTCGTCCACAATATTTCAGTATATCACTTGACATGAGTTCCTTAAGAATTAAATAGTATGACGTTAAATAATGAAGATCTCAACACGTGCACAATAGGGTTACAACGATATCCTAATTTCCAATCTATAAGTGTGGTAGATTGTCTATTATTTGTAGGGATATCTTTTACGAGAATGTCACTTCTGACTCTTTGTTTACTTGTCGTGTATTATGGATGCGTTTGGGAAGTGATTTAAGATCCAGAAGTCGATCATTGCCTTCAAATGTTAAGGTTGATATCTCAATAGTGTGAACTATTGGTTCCCTAGGATGTATAGTCCATACAGTATCTCGTGTTTGTGTTAATGCATATCCACAGGCTATTTACATATTGGACTTTGATTTTGGTCATTTTGGTTCATTTCCCAGTTTCCATCGATTTTAAAGTTGAGCCTTCGTCAATATAATCGACAATTAGTCAAAACATTAAACTCCTCATGAATCTTTTACTAGATAGTTTTATTACACAACAACTTTCTCACTTCTAGAACACAGCTTACAATTTTACCATTTTAAACTTCAAAAATTGTATATTTAGCTAAAATTAAAAAAAGTGATCCTTATTATCTGCTTCTTCGTCCTTTCCTTTAGTTAGTATTTCTTGTATCTAGGCTAACCACCCCTTTTTGTAGCCCCACTCAGAGAGCCTATAAGCTATGCATGTCCACATTCCGAGTACATTGGGGTCATTTTGAGTACATCCTAGTCCTTCCCTTTTGTACCCCTACTGTAAGAGCCTGCCAACAGTATATGTCCGCATCCGGGTACTTTTGGGTCATATTTAGTACTCCTGGGTCCGTAAACTGTAAGAGCCTGCCAGCTGTATATGTCCGCATCCGGGTACTTTTGGGTCATATTGAGTACTCCTGGGTCCGTAAACTGTAAGAGCCTGCCAGCTGTATATGTCCGCATCCGGGTACTTTTGGGTCATATTTAGTACTCCTGGGTCTGTAAACTGTAAGAGCCTGCCAGCTGTATATGTCCGCATCCGGGTACTTTTGGGTCATATTTAGTACTCCTGGGTCCGTAAACTGTAAGAGCCTTTCAGGTGTATATGTCCGCATCCGGGTACTTTTGGGTCATATTTAGTACTCCTGGGTCCGTAAACTGTAAGAGCCTGCCAGCTGTATATGTCGGCATCCGGGTACTTCTGGGTCATATTGAGTACACCTGGGTCCGTAAACTGTAAGAGCCTGCCAGCTGTATATGTCGGCATCCGGGTACTTTTGGGTCATATTGAGTACTCCTGGGTCCGTAAACTGTAAGAGCCTGCCAGCTGTATATGTCCGCATCCGGGTACTTCTGGGTCATATTGAGTACACCTGGGTCCATAAACTGTAAGAGCCTGCCAGCTGTATATGTCCGCATCCGGATACTTCTGGGTCATATTGAGTACTCCTGGGTCCGTAAACTGTAAGAGCCTGCCAGCTGTTTATATCCGCATGCGGGTACTTTTGAGTCACATTGAGAACTCCCTGGTCCGTAAACTGTAAGAGCCTGCCAGTTGTATATGTCCGCATCCGGGTACTTTTGGGTCATATTAAGTACATCCGAGAGTCTTTCCCTTTTGTATCCCATCCCTGTTTGAGTTTGCTCCCCACTGCTTTCGTATTGATATCAATGAGTATTCAGTTGTGGAGTCCACGTGTCTCGAACCTATTTTTACTTTCAATTTGTCTTATTTTAGGACCGGAATTCTGGGGACTTTTAAATCTTGAATGGACGATATGCACCAAAGGAAAGAGACAATCTCCAGTAAATATCGAACCCAAAAGGCTTGTTTATGACCCTTATATGAAAAACATACACATTGACCAAGCTCACGTAAGTACTCTTGTAACAATACTTGTGGGTTAAGATTAACTAAAAGTGATATATTTGATCTGTCAAAAGCGTATTGGCAAGTTGCTGAAACTTCCTAGACTAAAGTCAACAGCGTTGTTTGATTACAAGTTGAATAACTTATCTGCACTTAAAATCATCTAGACAAGACTATTAAGGAAGTCAGTCAGGAAGTAGAGAAGAATGATGCAGAAAAAGTGAGTAAAAGAGACGTTGAGTTTTGCCTATATGCCGACGATGTACTTGTTCCAAAATATGTTATATGCTGGACATCCTATATCAATCCGTCTCATAGTCCACTGTGTAGAAATAAACTGGCTGTAAACTCCATACATTTTATTTACGCAACACACTTTTGACCATTCGACAAATATTTACAATTACATTTGTGTATGTAATGATATTTCCTATAATAAGTATATATATTTAATCGATCAGATATGTTAATAATTCCATTCTGCCACAAGCGGGGTTGGGTTACAAAGACACTATACACTTCCACATTGATTAAGACGATTCCATTCAAATTATTTCTATTGTAAAACTACAAAACAGAGTTTCGATTCTAAATGAAAATGCGATGATCCATGAGTAGTTGATAAATGTTACTGTTGCAAAAGTCAATTACAGAACATCATAACTTCAAGTGAGTCTAATCTTTATAACTATTTAGCCTAGCTATGAGCAACCGGTATTAAAGATGTAATAAAATAAAATTACAAACAGTTGTTCTGTTAGCTAAGTTCAAGCTATTTTATTACATCTTTAAATGTTAACCCAATGCCTCAAACAATCAACCACGTGATATGAAGTATAACGTGAAATTTATGAATGTGACATCGTATATAATTCAAAAGATGACAGACTAGGAAATATTTCAAACGACATGATTGCTACTTGTTTACGACCCCCTTGTCATAAAAGTACATGAAAAACTCGATATTGCACCACAGTTTTACTAAATCTAATTATAGACAAACTGCAAAATGATCTCTTCGTCTTTGGTTCATTTATTCTACCCATCAAATCGCGTTCATTTTTCATAGACGAGGGTCGAAACATCAGTAACTCAGAACGGTTCATTAGTTAATGCTGAAGCTTCCGTCAGAATGTCCTTAAATAAATTACCCAATTCTACATCGCGTGCTACGATTTCATGAAGACGTTTTTTACTCTTGAGCTCATAGACTCTTGAGAAATCGTTAAGTTAAAATTAATAACGCATTGTAGTTCCAATTATTTAATAATACTGTGAGTAAATTACTTTATGTGAACCGTTTGAAAGGAGTCAGAGATTATTATATGAGTCTAAAATTAGTTGATTCGATTTGGATTTGGTGCAAAAAAGACGGATCACATTATTGAGATTAATCGAAAGCAGGCATGCAACTATTATAGTTGCCCTGATTGAAGTTGAATGCCATATCGTAACTAAAAATGTTAATCCAAAACAACACGATAGTTGAAACAACTTGTCACTGCATTTTGACAATATGTATAGCTAATTAACATGGATTATTTATTTGATGCCATATGACTTAAAGTCTTTAATCGGGACTTATAACGGGACATATTTTGAACAATGGTATCCTTGACATTGCATGTTTTGGTGAATTTGAACTCACAAACAGACGTGACAAGGAAATCACCTGTCAAACGTCAATAAGTACGCATTTAATTATTTTCTTTCTCATAAATAAATATGACTACATATACTTAAACATGGGTTTAAGAACAATGTAAGAGCATATCGATCATTGATTGATAATACACAGACGATGCAACCATGCAAAACCCACCCGTGCTCTCATGTAATAACTCAGATGCGAGGAGACAGTTACCAGTTTCACCACCACAGGTGGCTCGTTCGGGTCAGATAGCATGGCGGGTATAGTATAAAGTTCCCATTAACTTAAATTACATCTGTTTTAGTGGTTCAATTTTCATATAACCCTTATGTATCAACTAGTTATGCAAATTATAGAATATGTCCAATAAAAGAAAATATTTTCTGTCCAATACAAGAAAATATATTTCACTTTTTGTGATTTTATAACATGGGGTCTGTTTGGAATCTCCCCGAACTAGAAGTCACATTTAAAAAAAATTAATATTCAAAGTTGATCAACAATTTTCGAAACCATATTCCTAGATGTACTCTTACATCTAGATTTCAAATATGACATTTCTCTTCCTGAATTTTAAATATTCACTTCTACTCGCATCTGGAGTATTTGCAAGAGCATATTCACCAAATAAAACTAATTACTCGATACAACTTGTTTCAAATCTTATTTTTTAAATAACCTATAAAGAAACAATGTCACAATTCAGAACCCTTTGTACATGTTCAAATATGCATTCACTAGTGCAAACTAGAAAAGACTGAACGTGTTAAAAACAAAGCAATAAAATGACATATACAACCAATCATATAGAAAACAAACCAAGAATATCCAAAACTCTAATATGTAGTATTCCCCACTCCATTTGAAAACTAATTGACCCCAAGGTTATGGGACATTTCATTGACACGGAAGTCCATTGCAATACATAGTTGAAGATACTCATAGAAAGGTCATTCATTCAGATCATTCAGTCTGAAATGATGTGGGACAGACAGAAGCCACAACAGTCTATAATTTGAGTATCTAGGGGTCAACATCCATTTGCAAACTCGTCGCCATAATCCATGAAACACACGATTTCACAATAGTCATCAGGAAAAAACTGTGGCTGGTTTCGATCCCTATTTCACAACCATTAATGCCATTGCATCGATGATCCACCTAAAGATACCAACTGGAAATGGTGAATCAAGTGCATCTATCATAAGATTCCAACATCTTTGAGCATGTCAAGTGGTAAAACTGAAAGTTCAAAACCTTTTTTTGTCCTATTTCTTAGTAAAGCCTTGAAGGTGTATCCAAGTTGCACAGTAAATAATCTTGACCTTAGAGGTTCACCACTAAACTTTTATGTTGCTGGGTTAAATCGAACAATTAGTATTCAAATGTGGGAAACTACATCCACTCACAGTTTTATATTTCTAGTCGATTGGGATTGGAAATACTATGCAGATTGCCAAAATACAATAAAGCGAGTAATAAAAAATCTGATTGATTTGATAACTAATAAGAACAAGCTGGGTTGTCCCCTGAGGATGGCAATTCAGACACTGTAGATAATACCAATGATAAATCAGTTCACCATCATTATTATGTAAATCTAATCTGCCTGGTGCTATTCCAATTGTCACTTCACACGAGGATCATCTCATATATTTTATAAAATACGACATCGTCTTGCTTTACTGGACGACATTATAGCCATGCATCAATTGTAACTTCACACAAGCAACACGCATTATATTTATAAAAGCTTGAGTATGACAAGGCGATCGTCACTTCACACGAGTGTCATGCAGTATATCTTCGAAATTGCTTTACTGGACAAGGTATTACGTTCAGTCATTGTATTATCACCCTACATATGTTTTTTGCCATATATCTTGAAACGTTTGACAAGGTATCGTTTTACCAACTTGTCCGAGGCATTACTGTCAGGCGTTGACATTAACATATCAAGATTCAACAAACTCTTCTCAGTACAGCGATGCTATACAGGGTGTTCCATATGTTTCAGGAATGATGCTGTGTTTTATTGGTTTTCTTTTCAATCTAACTGAATTTTTGACACAATGTGTCTACACATGTTTTGCTCCACCTACTCTACCCCTAGGTTACTATAGCAACCCTATTATTCAGTCTACTGAGCTTCATGATATGAAACTTTTCCAACTTATTCACAACATATTTGGACACATTTTGTTAAAATATCAGCTAGATCGAAAAGAAAACCAATAAAATACAGCATCATTCCTGAAACATATGGAACACCCTGTATTTCGAAAACATCCGACAATTAAGAGATGTATCTAGAACTTTAATATTTAAAAATGTACAAGAACATCCTGAGTTTACCTTTCTGTTAAATAACAATATTTTTCGTTTCCTTGTAAGAGCAACTTCAACATTTATTAAAAACGCACAAAACTATTTACAAATCAATACAGACTTGAATCAAGAGCCTCCAGCAAATTAGGATTCAAGATTATATTACTAAATTCAAATCTAAATTTATGTAATCATTGTCTAATGAGCCAACAGTTAATTTTGACCTATTCATCAAAGAAATATTTCCAGATGAAATAGTTCAAGAGGTGTCAATTGTCATTATACTCCGGAACAAAGGCGAGACGACTCTTGAGTCTTCCGGCACTCTTAGTAATGCTCCAAAGCATGCCATATATAGTCAGTCTCGAGAGCTTGTGCCTGAGGAGTGATCACACAAGACATGCAAATGGATGTCTGTCCTATATCCAGCAAAACGTATAACTAGAATATGCGAACTGCTGCTCGAATAGCGGCTCATATACATAAACTCGCAAAAACTTCACAATTCTAGAATCTGTAAATAGAAGTTGAATATTTAGCAAAATACCCCTTTGAGGCGTTTTATATCATATTGTTCATTAACAAGACATTGAAAATGAAATTGATAAATACAGTTTTCCCAATTTGGGAGTGTTCCATCATGTTAAGTCGCTTGGGGAAGAGCATTGTTAGAAGAATAGAACATTCAGTTTGATAGGAGATGGTGGCTTATTTAAATACTAGAGTGATAGAGATAGGAGGGAGATGGGGAGGGAAAGAGGGAAAGGGAGGGGAGAGGGAGATTAAAAGGGGTAAGAAGATAGACTGAGAACGAGAAGGGTGAAGGTAAAGAGAGTAAGAGGGGAGAGGGAATGAGAGCATAAGGGGTGGATAGGGTAACCGGGTCAAAGAGGGGAGAGAGATTTAGTAGCGAGAGTTATGGGAAAGGAGAAGAGAGGAAAAAGAGAGAGGGAGAGATAGAAAGCACGAAGAATCATATCCCATATCATACTGTTTATTGACTGATGATAGAATTGACAAATAATTCTATTTTTCACTATGGGAACGTTATATCATTTGCGTTCGCCAAGGGAAAGCATTACATTTTCAATATTCAAAGCAGGTATGAGAGTCCGTAATTACGAAGAACAATCTAATCGAGTTCGGTTCTGCTGATATAACTGAGGCTTACAGAGTATTAAACAAAATTGCAAAAAAATCCATCAACGGCTTAGCCACATTTCATTAGCTGATAATTTCAACTTTGAAATGTAATGAGTGTACAGTGGTTTATCACTCAAAGATTGGAATTCTCGGTTCAATGGACGGACTGTGTCAAGAAGCAATTACTGGATCAATAGATGCACTGTTTGCATGTAAAGCACATCCTCCTGTGTCTATATGGATAGCTAACGTTTCTGTGACTAAATATGACTCGATATTGTTTAATAATGTCTAGTTATACTCAAAAATATTCTTTTAATCATGTGGATTTGTTGACAGTGCATTACATTACAATCGTTCATTGTAACTACCATTCTCAAATTCTTCACATAGTATAGATTACAATATAGACTATACATGTACTTTTGGAGAGGAGTGTAGATTTGTTGACAGTGCATTACATTACAATCATTCATTGTAACTACCATTCTCATATTCTTCACATAGCATAGATTATAATATAGACTATACATTTACTTTTGGAGAGGAGTATAGATTTGTTGACAGTGCATTACATTACAATATCTCATTGTAACTACCATTCTCATATTCTTCACAATAGGATTACAATATAGACTATACATGTACTTTTGGAGAGGAGTGTAGATTTGTTGACAATGCATTACATTACAATATCTCATTGTAACTACCATTCTCATATTCTTCACATAGTATAGATTACAATATAGACTATACATGTCCTTTTGGAGAGGAGTGTAGATTTGTTGACAATGCTTTACATTACAATCATTCATTGTAACTACCATTCTCATGCAGTCCTTCACATGGTATATGTTACAATAGAAACTACACTTCCCACTCCTATGTGGAAAATCGACCGATCCTTTGTTGCTGAGACCCTCTCATTATCTCCTCCATAAAGCAATCAAACCCTCATAAACGCCTCGTGAAAGAATAATAACAATGATTTGATGTAATTGAAATGAAGATTTCCTGACGGCGTGCTACTCATCATAACCATCGCTTGATCAATGATGATGGAGAGCTTCCCTTGGAGACATTTCGGAAGATCGAATACCCTTAAAAGCACAGGCCGGGATGATCCATACATTAAAGTGCGGATGCCATTTGGAGCAGTTATGGTTAAAAACCTACATTAGGCAGCTTATTTTTTCTATTGTCTACTATTTCATCCTCCAATCATTCTAATATATAGACCATCTTTGCCCTTTTGCTTCTAGAAAGGCACTTCTTTGAAAAAGGTACTTCTTCTAAAGGCACTTTTTCTAAAAGGGCACTTCTTCTAAAAGGGCACTTCTTCTAAAAAGGCACTTCTTCTAAAAAGGTACTGCTTCAGGCTCCTTGTCTCATCTGTCACGTTGTCCTCCAATTGCAACTGCAGGTTGCTATGAATCACCCATGTGGCAGAAATTGGGCAATTTGAAGTGTTGTGTTTTTGAAAGAAACAATTTGCTGAAGACATACGCATATGTATATGTGAATCGAGATTTTGAAGCCGTATGAGAAGATAATAACCAAGTTTGTTTGAGAACATAACGATTCCTAACTTCAGACATTGACTCCAACTTTCAGGTAGAGGTTTGATAACAGAAAGTTTGCTGCTTGAACAACTATGAAGTGAAACTTTGAAAAAGATCTTATGTGTATGTTGTCCGCAATTTCAAACCCCTTTCTCTTTGTTAACATTGATAGCTATTTAAATAAACTAGATTTTATACTTATCAAAATCGGTATATGTTCACAAACCTTGTCATTGTCAATGATCGAACGCTGCGCAGAGTTAACTGACGATTAAGGGGTACTATCACCCTGCCCCTGATGTGCGAATATCACTTTAAGGTGATCTATCGCTTATTTCACACTTGGGATAAAACGAGCGAATTAACTATAATTTGGTATCGATTGGGGGACGTGTATTGCAACCAACTAAACATATAACGAAAACTTATGAGATCACCTCCTCGCCGTAACCCTTTCTCAAATGAACGGCGTGTGGTTAATAGGGTTCTAAATAATGCACCAAGTTTTATTAAACTCGGGTTAGTGGTAATGGTCGAATAATATTGATGGACTCTGGATAGCCCATTATCGTATAGATTTTCCAATCACTTTCATAAATCGGATAACTCTCAGATCAGAGTCATTTGAATGTTTTCGGAATGCGCTATAAACAACGTGTGTAAAATATGGTATTCGTCTTGATTGGTTTATATAATAATTTAATAATAACAAAGTCAAATAATAAAGTTATTTTTAATACATGCTTAGTTTTTTTTATTATTGATGATTTTATTTCACTTGTTGAAAACAATATAAACAATTACATATAAAAGCATACCAATCGCCATGTGGCATCACAGGTTGCTTTGATTAAATTAAACATAGTTTTCATCTGGCTTTCGATATCACAAACAGGAAGTGAATAAAATATTGTAAAAATATTGGAAGTATGATCAGGTGCATTAAGAGTCAAATGTAGATAATAGGACCAACATATCCAGGGACCTGAACACAGTGGGAAGTATTAGTGATGTGACAAATCTGCATCGTTTAAGGCCATAAATCCCGCCCCAAGGTTCACATCAAAATATGATCATTAATTGGACAAAATTTAAACATGAGTCTAACTTTGTTTAACATCACTTTTACAAATTCCGTTTTGATGAACTACAAGTGTCAATCGTGATACATCATAAGATATATAAGATCTCTTGGAATGTTGGTCCTCTAGACCTCTAGCTCATCTCGCATAAATAATACCCCGGAAGAACGACTCTGTTTACATCATCTGTGTTTGGAAACCGATGTGATCATTTCCCTACAGTGATTTCTGCGCCAATGTTTGATAAAAAGCTAGTCGTTTTCTTCATTCAACATTTATTATGGAAAATAAGAAATAAAAGAAATTAAATCAATATAAAGTATCTCATCGAGATCAATCAAGAAATCGAAACTTTAAACCTTAGAATGTTACTAAATGTTGAAATAAATTATTAGATATTTCAAGATGCAATAACTTTCTGCTATAACTTCGTTTATATGACACCAAGGTAACGCTTATAAAGTAACGTTATGTGAGCTATTGAATCACCTCTTGTCTGTTCTTCTGTCCGTTATCTTTGATGAAACATTTTATATCAATTGAAATTGTATCAATTTTTATGCCGAAAATATATTCTAGCACTTTGAGCCAAGTACTACAGGAACTATTCACATGTTAAACTGTCTATATAGAATCTTCAATTGTACAATAAGTGGCATCTAAAAAGTTTGCTTGTAATCGATAATGCCAAAAGCACATTTAGCATGTGAGCCCAGTACCCACGGTACTATTCATTTTATAAAATCCGTTTCCAGGTGGGAGGCTGGCTTCTAAACAATGGACACGACATAAAGTTCAAGATAGACGACCCTGCAAAGCCCAACTCTATCAATATAACAAAGGGCCCCCTCTCTTACATGTACAGGGTGATTGATATTACAATACACTTTGGCAGTAGTGATGACCTTGGGAGCGACCATACTATTGAGGGGAAGTCGTTCCCAGCAGAGGTAAGAGTCTTGATATAAACGTGTACAATTGTTGTAAAGTACACTTCCCTCCATAAGTCTGGAAGTCGTTCCCAGCAGAGGTAAGAGTCGAGATATAAAAGTATACAATTGTTGTAAAGTACACTTCCCTCCATAAGTCTGGAAGTCGTTCCCAGCAGAGGTAAGAGTCGAGATATAAAAGTATACAATTGTTGTAAAGTACACTTCCCTCCATAAGTCTGGAAGTCGTTCCCAGCAGAGGTAAGAGTCGAGATATAAAAGTATACAATTGTTGTAAAGTACACTTCCCTCCATAAGTCTGGAAGTCGTTCCCAGCAGCAGAGGTAAGAGTCGAGATATAAAAGTATACAATTGTTGTAAAGTACACTTCCCTCCATAAGTCTGGAAGTCGTTCCCAGCAGAGGTAAGAGTCGAGATATAAAGGTATACAATTGTTGTAAAGTACACTTCCCTCCATAAGTCTGGAAGTCGTTCCCAGCAGAGATAAGAGTCGAGATATAAAAGTATACAATTGTTGTAAAGTACACTTCCCTCCATAAGTCTGGAAGTCGTTCCCAGCAGATGTAAGAGTCGAGATATAAAAGTATACAATTGTTGTAAAGTACACTTCCCTCCATAAGTCTGGAAGTCGTTCCCAGCAGATGTAAGAGTCGAGATATAAAAGTATACAATTGTTGTAAAGTACACTTCCCTCCATAAGTCTGGAAGTCGTTCCCAGCAGAGATAAGAGTCTAGATACAAAAGTATACAATTGTTGTAAAGTACACTTCCCTCCATAAGTCTGGAAGTCGTTCCCAGCAGAGATAAGAGTCTAGATACAAAAGTATACAATTGTTGTAAAGTACACTTCCCTCCATAAGTCTGGAAGTCGTTCCCAGCAGAGATAAGAGTCTAGATACAAAAGTATACAATTGTTGTAAAGTACACTTCCCTCCATAAGTCTGGAAGTCGTTCCCAGCAGAGGTAAGAGTCTAGATATAAAAGTATACAATTGTTGTAAAGTACACTTCCCTCCATAAGTCTGGAAGTCGTTCCCAGCAGAGGTAAGAGTCGAGATATAAAAGTATACAATTGTTGTAAAGTACACTTCCCTCCATAAGTCTGGAAACCGTAAGTTATCAAAATCTGTTTACGTTTGGCGATTAAAAATCTCTCGAAAAAAACCTGTCACCTTGTATTATTTATATGTGTTTATATTGTTAAAGGGATTTTCTATTCTTCAAACACTATAAGTGTAGGATCAAATTGACAAATATTACACCATGTCAGCTACGATGTTAGTTAATTCTGCCCCTGTATTATAATTCATTTATGAACAGTTTGTTTATTGTGATTCTAGATCCAGCTCACAGCCTTCAACTCAGATATCTATGCAAATTTTACATCGGCGGAAGTTTCACCAAATGGTCTCACTGTGATAGGAATCCTAGTTCAGGTAAGACTAGCAATGCTTGTTCAGGTAAGACTAGCAATCCTAGTTCAGGCAATGCTACTTAAGGTAAGACTAGTAATCCTAGTTCAGATAATACCAGAAATCCTAGTTTAGGTAAGACTAGCGATGTTAGTTCAAATAAGACTAGCAATCCTAGCTAAAGTAAGACTATAAATCTTAGTTCAGATACGACTAGCAATGTTAGTTCAGGTAAGACTAGCAGTCCTAGTTCAGATAAGGCTAGCAATCCTAGTTCTGGAACTACTAGTGATCCTAGTTTAGGTAAGACCAGCTATTCCAATAGAATGCATCATAATGCGATATAATACAATACAATACAATACAATACAATACAATTTAATATAATACAATACAATGCATTACTAAACAAGTATAATTTGTCAAATAGTTTCGTATTTATGTATTTCAGATAAATGAAGAATCAACAAATCGAGAGTTTGAAAAACTTGCGCAGGAATTCAAAAGAGTAAAATATAAAGGTAGGGCACTTTCAATGTATCATTAAAACGATAGTCATCGCAGAATTTGACATTTTCGGTATATTTTTTCTTCCTTTTTCCTGAGTTGACCCTGTATATCCCGGAGAATAAACGGTATACTTATACTGAGTCACAGAGCCTAGTACATTAGGTACATAAAGCTATATTTTAAAGAAGCAAATTGAAGCAATGCTAAACAAGGGGACGGCATGAGATAGATCCCTTTGGTAGATGTAGCCCTCTATTAAGATGTATCAAGAGATAGTTTGGGAGTAAAAGTAGTTGAAGTTGTACAGTTACTTTTTATCATTTGTTTGAAAGAAGTTTTGTATATCTGCGTGTTATTTTCATATTTGATCAAACTCGCTCGATCAAATACTTTTTAAATCCTTTGAGATGGTAAGGACATATTCGCATGTTCAGTGAAGAAATTGCTTTCAACATTTTTACTCTGTATTTAACCAAAGTGTTCTTCAACCACTAAACACTCTATTACTATTCGCTATATTGCTAATTAAAGTAAACGTTTTGTGATGTAATATTTCACAATTGTTTTCTTAACACGGGACCACTTAACTAAAATGAGTCAAGAATGGTGTGAAAAACCGAACGCGAGTAATTACTCGATGCATCTTGTGAACCCTCCATTTGTTAATTATTCTGACACTGACATTTTGGGAATTAGTTAGACGCACAGTTTTATAATTTATCATGTTTGAAGTAAAATGGAACTAAGTTAATGTCAAATTTACTCCTATCTTATTTCCAAATACGAAAGAGTTACGGTATACTGTTTTAATCACAGCTATAAAAGAAAAAAGCTTGGCATTGGCAATTACAGAATCCTCAATATTGTTATCAAATGTTAAATTATGATTTTAGACGACGCGATTCATAAAACTTAAATGGCATAAATCTCTCTATAAATCTCCCGGTGGCAAAACTAAAATTGGCGATAAGAAGTTCAAAATAGGATAACTCGTTTGGAGGCCCGTTTATGATTGATTTTTTGAGTTTACACATACAATTCGTTTTTCAAATCGTCAAACAAAACTTTCGTTTAGCAAATTTTTGGAAGGGTATTTTTGTTAAGAATTTGAAGTCAAAGCAAAACCTCTGAAACACATTTGAGCGTAGGCCAACATGTATATTAATTGAATTGTTAATTTTAGGTAACGAAGTGAGAGTTGAGGACTTATCCCTGCACGACTTGATGCCTGAGACATACTCCTTTATGACGTACGAGGGCTCATTAACCAAGCCTGGTTGCCACGAGACTGTTACCTGGGTGATCATGAATAGACCAATCTACATTTCCAGAGAACACGTGAGTACATTTCAGCCAATCAGAAGCACAAGTGGTTGCCATAGGACGAATACCCGGGTGATAATGAATAAATTAATTTACATTTTCTACTAAACAGTCAGAAAAAATTAAAAACATACATGTCCTAATAAATTACTTTAACTAAAAATAACAAAATTGGAAGAAAGGAATATTTGTACGTCGGCAGATACGAAGAGGACCTACCCCTATGGATCAGTCTCTAATCAAATATGAAATAAGATTAAAGATTATCGTTATATATGGAGATATGTTATTTTGAGACCTCCCCGACTCTCCTAAGAAAGACGAGTCAAGCTCAAGCTGAATTTGACTTAACAACTAGTATGTGGACAGTCTTGTGAACTGATCGCTTTCAAGTGTAGTTTAAGTTATAATAACCAAACCCCATTGCATCGATTGATCGACTCGACTTTTGTAGTTCAAGCTAGTTGATACTTAACAAATAATTTATTTGTGAAGTTGCATTGATATAAGAAATTCTCGTATGGTCTCTGAGGGCAATTAACAATATCTGGTTGATAACTCTACAGTTGCTAGTTTATTCCTACAACTACAACACCAGTGCATTGGGAACATTGTTAAACCACACATACTGTTAATGATTAGCTCCGAGCTTCAGAATAATGTTAAAGGAGCACGTAAGTTATCGCAAACAATTTCAAACGATTCTAACTTGAATTATGAATATTTTCTGATCATGGACATGGGTGTATCTTTTAGATCCATTCATTATCTTCAAGAAAAGTATATATAATGATATTTAGTTAATCAGACCTAAGTGATATTGAAGGGGCAATGGACCAATCAACATACTTTTTCGAAAATGTTGACCTAATTTTCACCAAAAATGCAACCTATTATCATATTGTTGAATGCATAATTAGAATGTGCTTTGAGACATGTTCGATTTCCTAAAAGGAAAATTTGATTGCTCCAGGGACTTTAAAGATATTCAATTTGGATGACCAAAATGAACTGAAACCAATGGATAGCATGAGATTTTTCAATGGAGAAATAACATGGGGAACACTTATCTTAATGCAATTAAGTTTTTCTTTCAAGAACTATTTGATACATCAAAATAAAGAATAGTAATGCATTAAACATTGTAAAAAATGATTGCATTTTTGGTGAAAATGGGGTCAACATCTTCAAAATGGGGTCAAAAAGTGTGTTGATGGGTTAATTGCTAGTTAAATATCTCCGAGTTTGTTTGATATTATTATTACTGTGCATAATTTTCTTTGAGATAATGAATTGATCTAAAAGATAAACTTGTCTTCATTGTCAGAAAATAGTCATAATCCAAGATATAACCTTCTGAAATTGTTTGCGATAACCCACGTGCTCCTTTTATTACAATATCATTTCTATGAGTTATACCGTTTAACGCATTGTTCAATTCTCAACTCAATGAAGTAGTTTGCAACTCCTCCTTTGATCATTTTGATGTGTATCTAGTCCGATACAAACCTTTTGCTCTAGTCCGAGCAAAAGGTTTGTAGGCACCTGGTTATATATTCATGTACTCACAAGATAAAAAAAATTGGAATTTAGATACATTTTATTTTGAATTGAGGAATTCAATTTCTCAGTTTCTCAAAAATGAAATCAATGTGGGAAAATATATTTTTTTCTTCTTGATATACTTCATTTTGGTTGTTCGTAATGTAATCGTTATCGATATGTTATCCAATGGAAACCTTCTTTTGCCAAACTTATGGGGAAGTGTATATCATAACAGAGGCGTAGCGTGGGTATTTTGCGAGAGTACGCCACGAGTGAGCGAAGCGAACGATTTCGAGGGGGGTGGGGGGGGGTTCTCCCTCAAGAAAATTTTAAAATGAGATTGCATTTGAAGCGTCCTGGGTCGGTTTGAAATACGAAATTCCGACTTGTGCCGCCATGATGATCTACACAAAAAGCACGGACGTCGAGTAAGTTTCTGGCGAAAGCTGGAGCATAGATTATAAAGAGGACTGGAAACAAGTTGGCAGTCTATTTCAATTCTGCCAACTCATGTTGGCCTATTTATCACTATTGACTCAGTGGTTCATCTAGTTTTACCTACCTTAGATGCTGATAGTAATCTATTTAGTATAATATTGTTTCCAAAATTATTGTCATTTGCGATAATTAGTACTAAAAGGACTTTGAACAGGTCAGCTGCCATTTGGTTGGCTGAATCGTCCAGTCCACAAAAACAGTGAAATCATATTAAAAATACCAATAAAACTTTTAAAATTGAGGCAGATGCGATACAAAGAGACTCTATTAATACAAATATACAGATTACAGTCACCAAGATGAGCTAATTTCAGGCGAGATTCGGGAAATAAAAAGGTATGTCATTCTTGTTTCCAGTCCTCTTAAATAATCTATGCTCCGGCTTTCGCCAGAAACTTACTTGACGTCCGTGACAAAAAGTACGAACATCCCAAACTCGTACGCTAACGAACGTAAAGAAGCTCGCAGCCGTACAAAAATATATGTATTTCAGAGAGAAAATTTAGATTATTACAACACAATTAAAAACAAACAACACAGGATTAGAACAAATCATTTATTTTGTTTTTCATATATGATTGTTACTGTTACTATTATCTTACTATTTAAGATTTATCCAGTATTTTTAAAGTGCGGGGCAATTCATTATAAAAAATCATTTTTCTCTCAAATTTGAGAGTACGCAATGGCGTCTTTTGCGTATATGACGCTACGCCATTGCATAAGGAATAATTCGTGATAACTTAAACCTTAGGAGGTCCCTAGTCCGATCAAACACTAAATACTATAATAAGAACACGACTTTGATACAGTAGGTTGAAACGTGTTCTGATTTTTACAAAAACAAAACAAATCATCAAATTGCAAATTGTAAATTATTTAATTCAAATAAATCTCACAAATGATTGTAATGGTCCTCTGATTGGTTTTTGACCATATAGAAATATTTAAACAATATGCAGAAATGTTTCCAAGCAGATAGCGGAAAAGAAATAAATCAAACGTCTTGCTGTACATTATAGATAATCAGACGCTATCGATTCGTATTAACTCATTCATTCAGTCAAGAAAATCAAATCAACACGGGCCTAGTGTGCCAACAGTGTGTGTTCGGCCTCTGGAACATAGATTAGATTTGCATATTTTGGCAGAACTATGCGAGGACGTAATATGTCATCACGGGGCATATTGTTACAGGTTTTGCAATTCTAGACTTAAAATAAGGCCACAGAAGGATGGGAGGAAATTGCCAATCTAGATCCATACAATAAAATAAACGATAATCTGAATGTTGAAAATGATTGCTCCCATGTTGAATATAATTCGCATTAAATCCCAGAAATTACCTACGTGTTGAAGAAGAGGCATTGCGTTTTGGGAGATGCAATATTTGTACATTCTGATTTTTTACATTAGACAGTTTAAACAATGTCTGTATAGTCCAACTCATACAAATAAAACCTTAACTGGTATTAATTCGTGAGATATATGACAAGAAATATTTTCTAGGATCGTACAATGTTTATTTTAGTTCATTTAGAGGTTGACAATAAAAAAAGTTCTTGATGCGAGATAAAGGTGCTCAGTATAGATTTCAATAAAAAAAGTGTGAAATTATTACTTTTTCAGCTGGAGAGTTTACGCCAGGCGATGACCGGGGACGAAGAAAATCCCAATGACCCGATGGCAAATAACAATAGGCCAACGATGTCCCTCAACCGAAGGACCATACGAACTAACATCAATTTCGCCGACCCAGTAAGTATAAACGACAGTACCACATGTTCAATTCGAACGCCACTTGTACTGGGGAAACCCTCCTCGGTGTCACAGAGCCATGGGGTTTTATGTTACACCGTCCAAAAGTGTGCGGAATGGTAGGTGTGCGCATTCAGAGGGTTTCCTTACATGGACGTTTATGGTAGATTAAAAAAGGGATCGAAAGTGTTCTGATTCGAGGTGCTCGCCTATTCAGGGTTTACTTACCCTCTGACCATGTATTCTTAATTGATAATACCTTTTTGTGCACGCTTCATAATTTATTCAATACATGACATTAACAGGTGGCTAAATGGACTCCCTTTGGAGATCTCGTCAGTACTATGTAAACGTTGAAAAGTCAACGTGATGATTTTAGCATACAACACTGCAGAATAATTGATTAATTTTCTCCTTATAGTAGTTCATGGAATTTGAGATCATTATTCAGTTTTTCAGATTTTGCGAATTAGAGTAACTCAATTTAACAACCATTGATTAGTTTATGGCTAATCATTGCGCAAGTTTGATGACAGAATGTTTATAATTAGGTTATCCAGTTAGGTTACCAAATCAACACCTAATTTTATTGAATTATTTTCCAGCACATAATATTTACATGGTGTTTCATAATGACCGCCCCTCTCGATGAGTCCATAATCCTTACTAGTGCATCCCATTTATGAGATGAAAGTTAATATCTCGACTTCTTGAAATAACGGAAACGATAACAACAACGGTATGGTTATTTGGTTAACTATTACGGATAGTGATGTTCGTTACCGTGGCGACCTCTACCACATATGGTTCTATGGGGAACATACCCCCCTTTTATATGATCATTACTAGCACTGCTTTTCAACAGTAGAGAGGGTCCTACTTAATACTGTGTGAAAAATAGATCATGTTAATTCTAAAATATGTGCAATAATTTAGCCCAAAAACAGGCTTACACGCCCATTGGCATTGTCACAAATATGACCACCCGTTTCCAAACTTTTTGAGGGAGTGTAAAAGCGAGTAATTATTATCAGTGAATGAACCAATTGAGAACTGGGTCTAATTTATCTATAATTACATTTACACGTTGGTCTAGGTATGTATTAGAGTACAGATACGATTACATGATGTACTATTGGATTATAGTCAGTATGTAATGACATTATATGATGACAGAAATCACTTCAGCGAAATGAAATTAAATGATATAATCATTGTCACTGTATTGTTAATCTTATTATAAATAATGTTACAATAATGCGAAAGGGCATCCGTCAAATTTTCAAATAGACAGTTGGTCAGTCTCGGTAGATCGTGCTCTACGGTTTTCTGTAGGCGAAGTACCAATTTGTAAAATATCCCCAACTCAATTATTACAAAACCATATTGAATACAATACAAAAAGCTGATATATCGCCAGCCAAAAAGCGTGACGTTTTTTTGGGACACCCTATGTTATTTTGTTTTTATATTTATTTAAGTCATTTATTTTTTGAAGACAACTACATATGTTTTACTTTATTTTCAGAGACCCGGATGTACAATGAAGAAAAATTTGACATATCACGGTAAGTTTCCATTGCAACAAGTAAGTACACAAACCATTCGCCGAAAATACAATAGATGACGTTTTCATGAATTTCATAAATATCGATTCTATGCCAGTTTCATGTACGTACGTTCGGATTGAATTGATAAAGATATTATCCAGTAATAGACCCTTGACGATGCAGATTACCAAATAATAATATTACACGACAATTTGAATCGATTTCTTCAAAAATTCGATTTCGCACTAATCTAGTATCTGGTGTTTAGCAAGCCTTATTCAACCTTTTGTTTGTTTTCCATGCATAAACGATTGTATAAATCCTATCAATATTTCATTACGGCGACATGTAAAGTACACTTCGTCAAGCATTCTTGAAAATGACTAAATAATTAATTCTTAAAATAAATTGAACAATCTAGGGTAAGCCAGGGAAACAGTCGAGTTTTGCCACTGTATTTGATAAGAGTTGATGGCAAATAATATTTTTTATTTTTTTGTAAGAAACACATGGACAGGGGTACAAAATTTTAACAAAAGTTTACGGTGGCTCATATTAAAAGAAAAATACACTACCCTCAATGTATTCGTCAGCCAGAACTTTTATTTGACAGCATATCAAAGTATGCCAATGCTCAAATCAGAATTCTATTCTGAAAGAAGTAAAAAAATTATTTTTTTCTAAATCACCATGAATAAACAGACTTTAATACAACTGATCCAAAAAATGATTTCATGTTGCCAAATGTATACAGGGGAGTGTAGATAACAAAAGGCAATTGCAGGATGGTTGTTTAAGAAAATATATTGTTAAAAAGACAAGTCTCTTTGTATTTCCTAGAGAATTAAAACAAGGGTTTTCAGGATCTCTTACAAGGTCAAGGCAAAAGCGTAACTTAACATACATTTTACTTGCATAACTTCGCAATGGGGAAGTGATTTTAAATTTCTTTACATCTATTTATTTTTATTTATTTCGAAAAAATATATGAAATGATAACACGTGATAGATATTGTCAAGTCTCAAAATTGTATCTTCAATAAAACCGTTAAGAAAGCCGGTACAATCTCACGACGTATTTATGAATTAATTATTCATTCTAGGCACATGAGAAATATAAAACGTGTAATTTTAGAAATAATCGGAACATACGAAGAGGCTTATAAAGACAATGAATTCGATCAATGCGTTGTGTTGTAAAGTTTGCTATTACGTAGTGTAAGAACGTGAACAGCTCTCGGGCGTGTCAATAAATATTTATTTTTTAGTCCATTATCTAATTATTTTCCATATATTCGATCTATCGTTGTGAATCAAAGTTATTTTAAAGTGTACAGATTCAAAGCAATAACGCGAATTTATCTCCTGGCTTTTTGGAAACTTGTAACGACATGATGTTAAGTGAAATATGACGATGTTAGTCATTTTTACCTGTTATTTTTTGTCATGTATGTCTAGAGGGGTATGGATCTGAATGAGTATTAGTGTCACGTTTCTTTGACTGAATGGCAACTCTATGGGCTCATTTTTTTAAAAAGCACATCTTCATTGATGTGAATTTCTGTTATAATGATAAAGAAAATGATATACAGACCTTTGAAGTGACACTAGCCCAACAAAATAAATATGTTTCGTTTCAATATGAAATCGATTTAAATACCTCAAGTGTGATTCAGAATAGCGTAAGTTTCTAAATTTATTGTCCTATACAACCGGAAGTCTAACTTAAATATGGTTGGAAAACATAATATAATTTTGGTCGCAATTGTATTCCTATCAAACGTCAAAAAGCACCGCATTATTTAATATAATACATTGAAATAAATCCTATTTTGACATTGTATTGTCAGTCAGTTTTCCTGTATCAGTCAACAATATCGTCACACTCATATTTCTACTCTCTTACCATTGTTGTATTCCTGAACTCTAATCCTATTCTGTCATTGTATTTTCAGCCAACTTTCCTGTACTAAGATCAACAATATCGTCACACTCCTATTCCTAAACTTTAATACTCTCTTACCAGTGTTGTTTATTCCTGAACTCTAATCCTATTCTGTCATTGTATTTTCAGCCAACTTTCCTGTACTAAGATCATCAATATCGTCAGATTCGTACTCCTGAACTTTAGCCCCGGCCGGTCCCCTGCTTGTGACAACCTTGCGGACAACAAACCAACAAATCAACTTTCAATCAATTGCGAACTCAGTGGGGTCGGTAAGAGGGCAGAAACTAAAAACAGTCATGTATTTAATGATAGCTGCAAAATTCTACAGGATTCTAGCTATTTGTGGAGTGTTTTAAAATGATAGCTTTCAAGAATTTACAGGATTTTAACGGTACGAAGAACGTTTTAAAATGCTGTAAAAAATGCAAAAATTGTACGAGGGACGTCATAGATGTGAAATGACAGAGATGGAATGAATTTACAGGATTTTAACGGTACGAAGAACGTTTTAAAATGCTGTCAAAATGCAAAAATTGTATGAGGGACGTCATAGATGTGAAATGACAGAGATGGAATGAATTTACAGGATTTAAATCGTAGGAAGAACGTTTCAAAGTAATAGCTGTTACAAATTTACAGAATTGAAGAAGTAGTGGGTCACTCAAACAAGTCAATGGAATTGATAATATGATATAGCTTACGTAAACAGGCAATAACTGCTAAACCCAGAACATGTAAATTGAGAGATTGTTGGCGGAGGTAGCTGCAAAGTCTGTAAGAACTATGATACAATGTGGCACAGTTGATGAGTCTCTAAAAAACTAATAATCTTAATAATCCTATAGTCTTAAAGGACAACTGAAATAGCTTTTCTCAACTTGCAGCTACAAAAATGCGGTTTTCTCCATTGTAAGCCCAACGTAGAGTTCTTGCGATAGCCATTATAAAATAAATGTTAGATAACTGCTAACGCTCATAGATAACGAAATAAAACTAACTGATCAAACACATTGGCCCCCACGTGATTAGTAACGTCATACAAAATATAGCTTTAGTTTATTGGTTCCTTAGTAATCACAACGTCACGGCAACCATAGGATTGTTGTGTAAACAAATAACAATACATTTTGGCATTATGACGTTATAATCTAATGGACCAAAACGGGCCACATGGGGACCAGTGAGAGATCACGTGGGGGCCAATAACGTCACAACCAATTCGAATATTGCTTATTAAGCAGCTATAACGATCGTTAGAGTGAAATAGTTTTCACACAACTGATGAGAAAACATGTCCAAATACATTTATCAAAAAAATATATTGATTCCTTTAGGTTAAAAATACCATTTCATATCTGCTTTAAGAATGTACAGGAAAAAAAGGTGACCACGCAGACCTAAAAGAAGGAGATTTACTTAACTAGACTGGTTCGAAGGATCGTATATGGTAGGAGAAGATAGGTGACACGGATGCTCCCTATATGTATTTCATACATTTTCTGATAAGAATATACTAGAAGGAACCGTTTGGATGCTTTGACGGGATCTTGCAATATAGTATTTAAGTTCCGAAAACAACGGGATTTTGGGATATACATATACTGTGCCATTTTTAAACGCATCGGTATGTTCTTAGCCTTAACACTTGTACAGTGAATGTTTCATTTAATTCAAGGAATGAGAACTTATCAACATATGAAGCTATAACAAAGTGTTATAGCACTGACTCAGATGTACTCAATGTGACCCTCAATATGACACGAATTTACTCAATATGACCCGTATGTACTCAATATGAACATGATGTACTCAATTTACTACAAGCAATTGTGTAGTTATATACTATACTTACTCAATGCATTGGATGCATACAAAGGCTGTGACTTTTACATTTATATATTTAATTGTACTTACGTGTTTGATTATATGTCTGATGTACATAGTAATGAATTGTATAGTGAATGATAGTAACTTGAGCTTTTACACACTGTGTATTGTAGACAATCATGTAATGGATGTGATATGTGAAGCTGTTCGTATAATTTTTCACGGGAGGGTCTATCCATAAATCCACAGGGTGTACCTTTCTTAGACTCCTTACACCGTTCTTTATTCCTCACATCCCCATCCCAATTTGACTGGGACATCTTATAATTTAAACGAGGACTCGAACTTACGATTTTCTGTATCGCAGGGCAACCTGGAGTGTGATGAGTGCAAAAAGTATGATAGGAATTAGTATATATTCGATAGACCCTCTACCAAAATTGTAAGAGTATTCATTAATTGTCACCTTTGTATATTCGGCAATATATGTTATATCATCCTGATATCCATCGCATTTTCGTTTTTCAACTAGAATTACATTCCTAGAAAGGAACTAGATAACCTTGATTCCCATGATGGTGTTAAGTCATGAAACTCAGTGCATTGTGGGCTGATTATCATTCCTCAAAGGGTCGTTTCAAACTTTGCACGAGATGCGTAGCATTGAGTGCCAATTTTAAGGAAAAACTCGCTCGAGTGGAGTAAATCAGTCAAAGTGCACTGACTATTGGGCCTAAGTTCTTTTCGCACATTGCAAAATAGTTTATACAATATCATTTTTAAATATACGAAATGACTTAAAAGAGCATATTTTCAAGGAAACTTGCAAGGGTCAAGTTATTATCACCTTGACATCCATTCAACACTTACCATTTGAACAGCAGAAGCATTTGGCTTGTTATCCTCTATGATACTATTTACAAAGGTCCATGTGCAGTATGGCAAGTGATTTTAGACAGTCATATTTTTCACCATAAGTACTTTCTGGATATAGATACAGTGTTTTACAGTGTTAAAACAATATGTTTTCTTTAAAGTGAAGTCCCGATGATAGTAAAATATCAATCAAACTCTCTGAAAAATTATGGATTAGGACCCCACCTTGTCACTTTTTATAAATGTAAGGCTTATTTTCTAAAAAGAGGATCTTGTTTTTCTCAATTTTAATATATCAAAAGTTTCTTCTGCACTATATTAATAACTTCTGAAAAGAGTTTGGGTATTGAAATGCGAATGTTAAAAACGACATTTCCCATGTTATTTTCCCATAGGGAAAACTCATGCTATCCATTGTTTTCAGCATGATTTTGGTCACCGAGAATTGATATCTTCAAAACTATACTTTCAATACCATTTTACTTTTGAAGATGCTTTAACCCCTTGTTGAATAATCTTTTCGAGCAATAAAAATCAGAAAAAGAAGATCCTCTTTTGAGCAAATAAATTCAAAAGTGGGGTCCCTATTTATAATTTTTCGAATTGTTCGATCGATATTTTTATCATCATGGGGACTTCAATTGAAAGAAAACATATGGTTTTGATAAAAGCCACTGTATTTGTGCCCAGAAAGTACTCATGGTTAAATATATCGCCATCTAAAATCACTTGCCATACTGCACATGGACCTTTTTACTCTATCATAAAATTGATCAGCTTATCGTAGTTTCACTAGAATCTAAAAATCATCTTGGATGCATTAGAGTAACTTATATTGCAATACAGTTTTATGAAATATGGTGTTCTGATTGGCTGGAATTGGACACACCTTGCCTATCTTTATATATATTGTATATACGAGTATATACGTCAATATATGTTATGTTACATAGTATACTATTATGCATCTGGTTGTAGGGCAAATGCTTTGTGTTATTTAAATAAAATTTCAATTATTGAATATTACTTTAATTGAGTAGATATATTAATAAAATGATACTATGGTAGTAACACAGTTAGAAAATGATAATCGTATCACTATGAATTAAAGATATTTTAAAGGCTATTAGGATGACAATAACAGTAATTTTACCTTAAATTCCCTTAGCAAGATGAGGACGTTTTTAACTCAATTCCAATAACAGAGGTCGAAAATAATTCGCTTTACCTATGCCCTATTATTCGTTATGCCCCCTTACCCGGCGGATCAACGGGAAATTTTCAATTTTAGTTGACGTTTTGATGACGTCAAATCAAAGCGTGGATACCCTCTCAGTTCCAAGAAATAGTTTTGACAATTAATCAATGGGATCACACATATTGGCAATCTTATCAAAAATGCTTTGCTTGAAAAATTAGAATGTCGCATACACTTGGCAAATCTGCAAAATCATAGCTAGCAATAAAATTCTAAATAAGAGGCAAAACTACAGCATTGGATGGATCTGCCATACTCTTGACCTAGATGTGCTACTATGTTGTTTTTAGTTTCTCCACCAGGTGGCTTATTCGGGTCAGATGACATTGTATATGGGACAGCATCTTTTCCAATCAATCGAGGTTGGGCCATGCAGCCGAAGGTAAGCCATACAACCGAAGGTAAGCCTTACAACCGAATTTTGCCGATTCAATCTGACGGAGAATGCCGAGCCTCTATTTTTGACCAATTAGAGACGTCCTCTTCACATTCGTGGTATCCTCGGCCAACTTCGTTTGCAGAGAAAAGCTTCGGCAATCTCCGGCTTTTCTTGAGGTATCTTCGGTTGATTGCCAAAAGTCGACACCCCATTGCATATATAGTAAAAAGTTCTCCTCAACTTTGATATCCGTCAGCCAAGTCTTACTTGACGAACGCCAACGCTGGTCATATGAACAATGGGTCAAGCCAGCAATGTCACCATTTCCCTAAGTGACAGTGACAAAAAATGAAAGGATTGCAAAATACTAAGATGTGCTCCATAAAACTTTAAGACCAATCATTCAAAGGAAATATAGATCGTCTCGCATAAAGTTGATTCGCAAGAATCTCCCAAATCAAATATCAAATAGCAGAATGAGTCAACACATTTTATTGAATATCCATATTTGATGAATTACAGCTAACACCTCAAGTAGGCAAAAACAAATCCCTAATCTAGCCAATGATCGAGATATGGAGTGATCTGTCCCTGGAGATTTTGACAAATGATGAGATTTGCAAACTTCTGTGTTCGATTGATAAAAATATTGATTGATATTTGTAAGCCACTAAATTGTTTGGTATCATTGTTGAATACAAAATTCAATAAAGTGGAATAGCTAAACCACAGCTGTATTTATTTAAGGCTGAATGCTGTATTATATAATTAATCACGATCATATGCTCGTGTTACTAATATAACATCGTAGTTGGTGTTAATTAGATAAATGCCACAAATTATACTCGTTGATCATCTACTTGAAATATTTGCCACCATTGCCTGGCTCTCTAACTATATTTTCTTTAACGTAACCATTACAGATATTTTATTTGTCTCGAAGAAAAGCAAAAATGACCGTATTGAATTGATACGCGCTTTTCTCCAGATCTTACCAAGTATTTAGAATATTGTATTTTATAAGAAATGCTATACAATATTTAGATATTTGGAGGATTCCTTTTTTGGGATACAATATTGTTACAATATGATTGTTATTATATTGTTACAATATTATTGTTATAATATTGTTACAATATTATTGTTATAATATTGTTACAATATAATTGTCATTGATAACTTTCATTATTTCAATTGATTTCAGATCTAGTTGAAGTTGTAAAATTGTATACAATACGTACATTCAATAATATATTCGACCAATGCGATGTACATTGTTGGATATCAAATATTATTAATAAGGACAAGTAATACCAACAATATCAACTCATTTTAAATACGTGGATATGCGCGTTTTATTAGGAAAATAAAGAACCTATTAATTGCTAAAACAGAAACGTTTACATAATTGTCCCAGAGGAGATTACAATGTACAATATTGACTAATGCGACATCTTTATTGCTAGATATGTTTGTTCAACTGTTCAACTTTCTATTGATACCAAAATAATAGGCAGTTACAATAAAGCCTGCCATCTTTTGTTTATCAAAGATGCAAAGTTTTAGATAAATTGGTCAGCTAATGATTGTAGAACGTACCACCGGTGAGCACTGGGCTTTCAATAGCAGGGGGCAAGTGTCCGAAATCGCAGTTTGTTTTCGATAATTCAGGGAAGAATGCATTTCAAAATTTTAGTTCTCATTGAAACCAATGGTACAATACTATTAAAAACATAATATGTAATCATTCTTTTAACCTGTTTAGACAGTCCACATTGGTTTTGGTCGCAAAATATTTTCGATATGCTAAAATATTGGATTGGCACATCAGATATGACATTTTATTATTGAAATAGTGTGTCCTTTGTTCAATCTTTATACTGGTGTTAAAAAGAGAATATTTTCTTGCACTGTATACATAGTGAAATAATTGATGAAATAAAAAAAATTATTTGAAAAATGGCGGAGAATTTCAAATTTGAGAAATTAAAAGCTGACAACTTTTCTTTCAAAACTTTTTTTTTCAAAAATCTCTAAAATAAATTTCAAAGTCATGACAAATAGAAAATAAATGAAACTCTCAAATGCTACATGGGGACTGTACAGTCAGCAGATGCTTTAAACTTTCAATGCACATAGATATATACAGCTTGCATTTTATATTAAAAGTGTTCAATTCAGTGGGTTATTATGCATTTATGAATATGTTTACACTTAGCTCTGATGTTGACGGGAGTCGGATGACCATGTTTCGTGTAAAGATCGAGGTTTTTACTTTCCACATGCATACTTCATTCAATTATCTTTATTTTAACAACTTGAAAATGTAAGATTGCGTAATTTGATTCTTAAGACAATACGTATGGTATAATAATTAGTGCTAGTTTTTTTCCGATTTTGTCTCTAGGAGCTGATGAAAAGATCATGATTAATCAATAACAAATTAGTAAAAGCTATGTTCAAGGACATTCAAACTTTCCTCTATACTTTATTCAATTATCTACAACTTGCTGCAATGAATTTAATGACTTTGATAATGTAAGATTGCGTAATTTTATTCTAAGCGCAACATTTATGGTAGAATGAGTGTTAGGTTTTGCCAATTTTGTCTATTGGAGCTGATGATTACATCATAATAAATCAATTACCTTATCTACAATGTTGCTGATTGTTTAAGAAAACATTTGATATATCTGTAGCTCCAGCTACTGTAAATTTGAAGATCCTACCTGATGCAAATGAAAAGTTATGCGGGAAAAAATTAACAGTTGGGGTTGACCCCCCAAGGGCTTCTAGGGTTAAAGCTTTTCTAGAATTGAAGTTATGCATTTTCAAAGATAGCAGGTATCGAGAAATCCCATTGAAATTAATGTAATGTGAAAATGAATATTTCAATTAACTTGTTTTTGTCTTTAGCATTCACTTTTCAATATGTACAACAAACATACCAATTGAATCAGTGAATTAACAAGGAGATAATGAAAAAAACAATGTTTGTTTGTGTTGTTTCTGTTAAATGTATAGCTTCTTTGAATTAGCGGAATGGTAAGCTAAAACACATTTTCCCAAAGATGTAATGATTGAGGTTCTGATCATTAAAATATCCATGTAGCGTGTTAATATAACAATGTTCCTATTTAGGGATTTGTTGTTGTATATTAATCAATTGCTTGACATTGTTTTTGGTTTCATCATTCTGAATAATTCATCAGTTTTATTGCATGCAAATATTTAATAATATTTCGAAATGAAACTAAAAGCATTTTTAGTATCAAGGGGTTATATTTATATAAAGTGTAAATGCAATAAAGACCCCAAAACCGATTAAAGGCATTAGATTCTTATCTGACCCCTAAAGATAATAACGTTTGGTGGGCGATAATAGAGTAAAACTACTCTCTCAATTTTCCGAAGAATCCATTTTAATTGATCTAGGCTGTATTTATTCAAAATTCTGTGTATCTCGGGAATAAACCCCTTCTGAGAAAGGGCCGTCTCATTTAGATGTAGTCTCTTAAGAAATACTTGTTTCGCCAAATGTGTATGCTTCAGATGAAGGCGTCCTAAAAAGAGTAATCTTTTACTTTCTATCATTGATTCAATGTTGTTTATTTTACAATACATTTACATTAACATGTAAATTATGTTAACATCTCTTTGTCATGTTTCACTAAAAACGTCGGTTTTGGAAGATATACAAATATAATAGAAATCTATTATGTATTCATGAGTAATGAGCAGTTGCAGAGCATGACATCCCTGTTGTTTAGTTTATCAACGTTCTATTGGCTGACGTATTTAATTTAATAGCTTATAGGATAAACATATCTGACAGCAAATAGGAATTCGAGAGAATTTGACCAGTCGAGAATTTACAATGAAAGGCACGCTCCTCTTCAATCTCCTTCTTTCCTCGTTCTCCATAAACGTCATCAATGCATTTGTTACCAAGCAAGGACTGTTCGTTAGAGTGCCCAGTGCCATGAAGAATGGAAACATAACAAAGACATTTAGAGACCGTACTGCAACTGAGTGTGCCATCCAATACTTAATCAACGACAGGATTTGTAATTCTTTTAATATAAGAAGAGATGTAAAAGTTTGCGAGTTAAATGGAGAAAACTCCGGGCTAATTGTAAAAAGTAATCTTTCAGACCATTTTTGTCTTGGGCCAGGTAAGATTTTTCGAATGGCTTTGTATGATTATTTCTATTTCATTATATTATAGTACTATGTATATTATAGGGATGTCACGGTTTCCCGATATTGTTCCGTCCCTCAGGACTTTGGTCTTGGGACGGGACAACCTCCGTGTACCGAAGATTTTGGTCCATGTTCAGGATATACTATTTCTCCTGTATATGACCCTAAGACTTCCCGAATGCACGATAAATATGATCTAAACTAGAATCATTTCTTTCGTTTTTACAACTTATCTGCCGGATTACGTTCATGTGTAAATGCCATCTAGTGGCGGTTTTAATAAACGAAAATACATGCAGTTTTATCGACAGCAGTGTGTCCTTTTGAAATATGCTTTAATTTAAACAATAACAAAGAACTTCATCGGCGAGAAAGGTAACAACTTAAAAGTAATCTCAGACTATTCGCATATAGTTTAGCTTTCTATGACGTTATATATATACGTATCTATGTCAGAGCAGCAGACGGTAGAATTCTTATTGACCAAACTGTTGATGGGGTTCTATAAAATGATGGGAATACAATTCATAAATGCGAATAGTTGTGTTTCTTGTCTTTTAACCATATTAGAATCGCAACAAAGACCTCGATTTTATGATTTATGTCGAATATATGACCCCAAAGTTTATTCAGGCCATTGCCAAAGACCTCAATTGCTAGGCGATCTCGGTCTTTTAACGATGATCAGAATAACATTTTCGGTCATATATTTAAGGAATAAAGACCGAGACTTTATGCTTTATGGCGTTATATATGACCAAGAATTATATTCTGCTTAAATGGTAAAATAAGTGAACTTTGATTCCGGGGAGGCTTTTAAAAAATAAGACACATACTGAAATAGAGAATGTTTTACAATCGAGTATTTTTGAGAATTTCATATTAATTTATGAAATATATCATGTACATAAATAAAGGACCAGATTTAATAATTAAAAAAATATTCATTCCAGATTATAATAATTCCTCTTCATTCTGATTAGTTCAGAAAAAACAATTGTTGCTAATGAAAACAATATTAACAACAAACCACGCATTATATCGGCATAATAAACGCACGAGACTTTGTTTTTTACATTTATTAGACTCGCATTGCAATTGACACAGCGGAACACAAATATAAAGTAGATTGTTCTATGAAAAAACTAATAATACTAAAAGCATTTATGAGCACAGTAACTGCAGTATACAATGTTGGGTGGTGCCTTTCACATTTCAAACACATAATTGAGTGAAATGTGTGTGTATAAATTACTAATTTTTTCATAATTTCAAATCGTGATTAAAAAAAAAGATGATCGATGAATCCCAAGTTTCGTGACATTTTTGTATTCGATTCCAGACAGGAGGTACACTATTAAGAGGCGATAACCATACATATCATAATACACTCGAATGCATATTTCAATGTTGTAGATTCATCTGCATGCATCAAAAATCCAACAACGATCTTAGACGAACAGTCGACGACGCCCATGCCAGGTTAGACATTAGGCTTCTTTGAGAATTTTACCGGTATAGTGATAGTATCTTATAGAACGAGAAAGCAACATTATACAAATACATGTTAACAATGTCCTGATCTAGCTTAGTATGTTACTGTAAGTTTCTTATCATTTATCTCCTAGTATAACGCAATGTAAATAATATAATATGTTGAAAACAGATTTGTAGTTTGTATGGTCTTGAATGTAATGTAACTTCAATGTAATAAAGTAATATCATACTAATGTCCGATCATAAGTTCGAATTATAGTTGTGTTTCAAATATTAATTGTTTGGCATGCGAGCCTTACTATTTCGTTGCAGTTTTATCTTTACATCGTAATTTCCACCGCCATCACTTTTCAAACGAGTTAACTTGAAATATCAATACGTCAAGGTATTCTCATACTTATAACTTTTTATGTGAATTCCATTCACCATTTATTAAGCAGTAAAAATCAATTTGCTTCGTGGGTGACAACATGTTTATGGTTTCCCTGTGAATGTCGAGTCTTGCATCATACGAAATCAATGTAATTTTAAGCGGTCTCTCTGCATGGGGTGTAAAAGCAAAAATATTAAATTAACAGAAATGCACACATTATGTACAAGTACCCTGATATATTAGAGAGATTAAGTTTTAAGAGAAGCTGTACGCAAGCGGGTTATAAATGACCCCCGGGATTACCTTCCCACTCTCAATTCACGTCCCTAGGGACCAAATTGCACATATACGTGTAAACCCCATTGGCCTATTTACACTACAAACTGGAAAACAAATCAATTGCAAAAGTTTGTATTGCATATGGAATTATTACACCAAAAGTAGTGCGGAAATGGCCTTTTCACGTGTTGGCAGTTTTGATGACACTTAAAGACATAGTTCCTCTTTCACCTATATCATCTCATGGAAATGGGCATACCAGGGCAAAGATCTTTGTTCCGTGGTGAAGAAAAGCCATCAAACATTGTCTGAAGAGCAGATTTATCTCCGTAATTCTACTTTTAACATGGCGACCTTGACCTTGAAAAAATATAGCCATTTGGGCGATAATAGGTGATTCAAAAGTGAAAATGAGTGCTTTTTTCGTAGTTTTACTTTGACCAAGCCTAGAAAAAATTGAAGTGGTAAACCTACCCCCAATTTTTGATATTTTTGTTGTCTAGAAGTGTCCTAGATGATATCAAAGTTTAAGAAAATTTGTATGTCTAGAAATATTTTATAAATTAGTGCCAATATGGTGGGTTTGGGTGCTTTTTTGCTCTCATTTCTTACCCCATTTCTACGGTTGCCATGGCAACTATTAGGCTTTGGTAACCATGCCAACTTGATTTTTGAAGGACATCCACTTGATAGTAGTTGGGCCAAGTTTGATGGAAAATGGGCCTGGTTTGATATGATGGCAGTGAGGTTGATTGTGGCATGTAGTAAAACGGCAAAACAATGGTGGAGTCATACCATTATGCAATAAAATACTGTCTAAGCATAACATATTTATAGGATATCCTATGATTTTGAGGAATATCATTTTTATCTACGAGGTGATATTGATATCTGCACGAGAGAGCGAAGTAGATTCAAATGATATTCTGAAAAAAATCATAGGATGTTCTTATTATCCTACACTTACAAGGAGTGTACTAAATGTATAATATCATTGCAAAATGAATTCCATGCCAAATGGAGTCAATTTGGCGGGAAATCAACAAGTGGAGTATATCGTCACAATATCCTCCGCAAATTGGGTTTTCCGGAGTATATCGTCACGATATCCTCCGCCCGGAGTATATCGTTACGATATCCTCCGGATATTCATTTTGCCAATAAATATCAAAATTATTTTTTAATGTTATTATACATTTAGTACACTAAGTGTAGGATAATATAATCTATGTGATATGATGAAGTATAGACGTGTTTTAGCTAAAATGTCAAAAAGGAAAGGATTCAAATAGCATACGTTATAGTTTTGTTTTAATTAATATTGAAGATATGTAGTTATATTAATTTAAAGTGTGCGCCAAAGTTTAAAACTGCGCAGGCGCACCGCTCTCGCTAAACTATATAAAGAGATTACCGAGTACACGATTCAGAGGTAAGCCAGGAAGGCGAACGATCTTCGTCTCGTGATGATTTCCCATATAATCGTAACCAGGGAAGTTTCACCATTGAAATTGAAAATTACTATAAGATATACTTTGTAGATGTTATTTATGAAGCTATTTAGTGTTTGCATCAATCAAATGGCTCATTTTGAACATATAAAAAGTATTTGTGTTTTGTTTCCCCAGGGAATTGTATTTGTATGTAGTACACACATAAATAGTGTACATTATACAGTACTTGAATAGCCTGGTTTACATAATATTGAAGGGCATGCTGATTACATGCACACGAGTACATGAATGAAGGCCTAATATTGATATTGCTTGCATACCTAAATAAAAAATAAACTCTTCTAATCCCCTAATGTAAACACGGCGGTATACGTAGCCCGATTTATCGGGGACTTTAAGAGCGAAAAAATCAAACTGTTTTGATATTTATATATTTCTGACAATATTTTGCGCAATTTTTAATATACCGCTGTTGTTTTGCAGGCATCTGCACACACATGCTGATATCTGGGGACATTTATTACGTTAAGGATGAAAACATTACTGCATCTGGGGCTCGTGATAACGATCACCTCCCGGAAAAATCTAGACTAGATTCATCGTACGTATAGTACACATAAGGATGCATTGTAATTGGTCAGACACATACGCACGTTATATGTATGAGCAAAATGACAGTACATGACAGTACTCAGACTTCAGCTTTCAATAATAATATATCGTCGACATCGGTATCATCAATAATGTAACAACATAACAAAGATAAATGGTTCAATTTTGCATTTTAATCTTCGTTTACTATAATTAACAAATACAGTCCCACACTACATAGTATATTATTAATTAATGTATCGACAGAGTCACAAAACTTTAGCAAAACTTACATATGTAAAGCAAATAAATTACACAAGGCATCAGAGCGAGCAACAATAGTGATCATAATTGTATCCATGTAGGCTTATATGTATTAATTCCAGAGGTGTCTGGTCTCCTAGTGCAAATGATGTTAACCAGTGGATACAAGCAGACCTTGGTGAAGTCATGATTGTAACAGAGGTGGTAACTCAAGGGCGGCAAGACTCTAATGAAATGGTTTCCTCATATAAACTCCTGTATGGTGAAACTGATGATAATTTGGAAGAGTATGGTCAGGTATTTGTATTTCGTATCGCAACATCTTGGCTTTGCATGGAAAATGCTGAAAAATGCATAAAATCCCATTTACGTTTGTTCGGATGCCAAATTCATGCAATGAATTGCATTCTAAGCAAAACATTGATACAGACGATAACGTTTATCAGTCCAAAACAGATTATGCATTGTATATATATTCGAAAAACAGATCACTCGTTTTCAAAACTGGCTCCAATTTGGAGTCAGTTTACAGACCCGCTCCCTCCATTTAACACAGGCCAGAACAATCTAGCAAATGGAAATCAATGGATACTGTCTAGTGATTATGTTGATGTGTGGAAAGCAATTCAAAGTTTTGGCATCAAGTAATATTTTGCAAAAAAACAAATATGACGTTACTTCAGTTCTTTTACCATTTTTTTTTATTTTCAAACAAATTACAATAGCATAATATGCAAAACGCAGCTAGTTGAGTAGTAGATATAATGTGTTTTAATGATTTACTTTTCCGTCTGTAAAGATGTCAGTTTCTCAGTAGGTTATGCTTTTTTCAAAATCATACTACATTTGGCAAACAACATGAATCAATTATAGCACTTTATTTTTATTTCTCTTCTCAGATCTTACCGGGAGGTACAGATATAAACGACCGTATTGCGAACTTGATAGAACCACCTGTGTTGGCCAGGTTTGTCCGCATCAATCCTCAAACTTGGAACATTGCGATATCCATCCAGTTCGATGTCGTCGGATGCCCTAAATAGGTAAGACTACATCTTGTCGTGTAATTTACTGCTTTGTAAATATTCCCTTCGAGGACTAAAACAAAGAAAAGATCACGTGGTGTCATAGATATTATTAATCCAGCTGAAGAGACAGACCAAATTATTGATACATTTTATATACAGGGCGTTCATAAAGTTCTTGCAAAAGTGCTCTAAAATTTTTATATTTCAGTCAAACTAGCTGAAATTTTCACTCAGTATACCTACACTATTCACACATTGAGATCCTAAGTAATAATTAATAGGTCCTAGAGGAAAAAAAGTTATGGTTGCTATAGTCACATGAGTCAGGGGTAGGCGGAGCAGGCAAAAAAAGGATCTGTTTTGTTTGAATATTCAAATTTTTTTTAGCTTGTTCTATTTACTTTAATAACAGTATCCAGAGAGTATAGGTGTTCAAAATAGTGTCCATCATGATCTGCACACCTCTGCTGTCTTACTTACAATTCCTCAAACAGATGGGGGAACCCATTTGGAAAATTTATTGCAATTAATCTTTTTATGGATGGCTTTCATCAATGTCATCTGATCCTCACTGGATTTCGTTCTTGGACGGCCTAATCTAGCATTGTTCTTACCATTTGTTCTCCAATCAGTAAATGTCATAGTCATTTTTGTAAATGGTTCTTTTGGCCATAGCCTCCTTCCCATACACCTTATGAATATCTTCAAGTGTTTGTTTTCTTGAATTTCCAAGTAAAACATACATACGAATGCTACTGAATATTTGTAATTGCAAATCATCATCTTTTGCTGATTTTGCCGCCATTTTCACAAAGATAAAATTGACGCTGCCTTTCACAAAGTCGCGATGTCATCAACCAATATAAGTCACAATGATACCATGAGTGATGTCATGAATCAAAGAAATTTCAACTATGAAGTCATCATGTGACATCATCTAGTGTTGAATGGCAATATTAGCTTGTTTTGTATTTTCAAGGATACTTTAAAGTATGTTAAAGTTACCTCTTACCCATATTTTTTTCTTAATTTTTCTTTTTTTCAATGCTGCTCCGCCTACCCCTGACTCGTGTTACAATAGCAATCATAACTTTTTTTCTTCAGGGACCTATTCATTATAATTCAAGTATCAAATGTATGAATAGTGTAGGTATACTGAGTGGAAATTTCAGCCATATTGATTGAGAAACAAAAAAATTAGAGTACTTTTGCAAGAACTTTATGAACGCCCTGTACACGGTGATATAGGTTCAGGAAACGGGAAGGTAAGATATATCTGCATTGCTATACTACACATATTAACAAAAAGACGTGTCGATCCCATGAAGACTCAACACCATCGTTCAGCATTGAATTTCATAAAGTTTTTTTTTATATCACATTGATGAACATTTCTACATATGAACATAGGGATCGGAACAAGTCATAGTTTTCTCCTGATGACTGTAATGTTGTTATTATCTTGTTTAACACTACCTTGTTGACGCCTATCTTGGGTTCTGGACATTATGACGAGGGGCCCCTTTAATGCTCTCGCTAGATCCGGCAGTTGTCGATTATTTCAGTCTCTTATTTGGTTCTTGGTTCATTTGTACAACGTTATGTTCTTATTTCTTATTTTACATATTCACCTAATAAATATTTACATGTTGATACTTTGACTTCTCTTTGTGAACTGACTGTTCTTTTCAAATTTCATAATTGGCTTCTCTGATTGCACTTTCAGTTTTTGAGTCAAGTTTAGTATACTCTAGTGCCATCTTTTGATCAACTTTAAACTTTTAGTTCCATATATTACAATGACCATTGTGAATTATTATGTTTTACGGACTGACGAAGGCTCTTAGAACATGTTTTTAAACCTTGAGACTCGATTTCGTCTACCCAACTTCGTTTTTGACTAATTTTTTATGAGTGCTATATAAAGTATCTACAACTATTTTGTTATTAGTATTGGCTATTAATTATTTTTATATTTCCTTCACCATGTATTATATTGACTTTAGTATGAATGAAATGCCCCTTGGTGTTCCGGTGTAAAAGGGTAGGTGGTCCTCTCAAATGTTGGTCCTATTCTCTATTGATTTATTTGGTGACCTAATTACAATTATTTTCCTTATTATTTATTCACAGTCAGGGCCAGTAAGGGCCGTTAAGAAAGGGGATCATCATCCCCGGGGACCATCATTTCTTTCACACCGGTCCTGGTCTTTGGTATTGGTTTTCTATTGAAGGGGGGGGGGGTTGATATTATACATTATATCTTTTCCCGTTAGACCATGGTTAAGGGATTCGTAGGGTATATGTTTTTCTTATAACAGGTATACACATAGAAAAACTAAGTGCTGTTGTTGTAGCAAACTTCTTATATAAAATTCTTCCTTCGTAGTTTAAAATACAAATATTACTTCACCGGAATGTTGACTTAAATTCGAAATGTATTTGAAGTTATAGAACCTCTTGTTTAGTCGTTGTTCTTATCCTTACAAAAATGTGCTCCGAATAAGAACCCCGATGAGGTTTCCCGACAGATACTTTCCTAACATCCTTACAACTTGAAGTCATAGTATTTTACAAACGCTAAAATTGAGTTTCTCAACACATTTTGCCTATATGTATAATTACCTCCTCATCACTCCCCCAAAATCAGTTGTGAGTGATATTCTATAATGTTTATGCCTCGTTGGATGATTTCTCTCATTCGTATTCTCAATAAATTTTGTTTGTTTTATCAAGATAATGAGGTTGATTCGATTTTATTTTCAGAATAAAGATGCAGTTTTGTTACAGATGCCACAAGTGCAAATGAATCTAAGTATGACATCAATTGGTCTAAACAGGAACAACATGCAAACGATTTATTGTTATGGGTGAGGTTTTACAGAAGTTGTGACACCATAACAATACAGTTTTTATGCGTATCGAATCCACACTTTGACGAGTTTCAATGTGCAATTAAATCAACGCTTATTAGGAATGAGCTAACACAGACAATAAATACGAGAATATATGTTTCAAAAGGCATATCCAGAACTAGTAAATTAAAGCTAACAAAAAGTTCTAAAAATCTATCCAAATGTCCTGTTTAAGAACCCCATTCTTTTTACTTGGAGTCTACAGCACGAATGTTCTCTACAAATATTCCGCTTGTTTTGCTTGTCAATTTGAGATTTTTTAGATAATGGAGATTTCATCAGCAGAGTATTGACTCTACATTAGGGTATACAGTATTGCCTGAACAATGGCATATCCTCACAGATGCAAAATCTTCGTTATCATATGAGTACTCAATTTGATCGAGTCTCAAAAAGAAAGAATACGGGACATAAAAATTAACATATTTCGTCATACCAGCACATTAAAAAAACAACAACACAGAACCCAGTTCCACGAGAATTATCTATTGAGGTTGGAATAATAGCAAACGTAGAATATTCATGTAAAGCCGATACCTCGTATTGTGTTATACAGGGTGTCCGGAAAGTAAAGATACAAATATTCTAATTTTAAGAGATTTAGTCTTTTTGTGATGAAATCGCTACAGATTGTACAGCAACTATATAACAATACATCTACCAACTTTTATAACGTATAGTCTAAATGTGTTAAAGTTATGGTTGTCATGGTTACGGTGGTGAGGGGTATGTGGAGCAGTTCCAGGATGTCGCTAAATTGTGATAAATTGCTAAAATATAACCATTTGAAATACTGTTTATCATTGTATTTCTTGTCAGTTTTTGCTTTGTTCAATATTGTATTCTTGCTGCCATAGTATTCTCTTTAGTATAACGATATCATTGATACATATCAGAACTATGTAATGTCACAAGTATAATCAAAGAAAGGGGGTATATAAGTGCTCAGAAAAAGGGTCCCTGGATTAATAGGAAAGTCAATAGTGCACCTCCACAGTCAATGCTCCAATGCATAAAGTAAAGAAAACAAATCTTACAATTGAATGTCTCGACATTTACCTTTTTTGTACAATGGCCCATATTTCCCTGGTAATGTCCCGTTGGACTTCTACATTAATGCATATGTTAAAGCAATTTGTGAGAAGTTCAACATAAAAATGAGACTCGGCTGGAAGCCAATGTTATCAGCAATCTTAGAGACTGACAGCAAAGGTTTTGTCAGGTCTTTGAATCTCCGGTCAAAATGCACCAAGAATATTAAGATAAAGGTGGAAAATACATAATACTGGATAACAGTTGTTACATATATACTAAGAAAACAGACAAATCCAGTTTAGGAAATTCACGTGTATTCTTCAATCATCGGCCATTACTAAAAACCTATACAAGTGCGACATCTATCTTTAGATGTAAAAGTTTATGTGCTTAAGGAGCTACTTAGATTTATGATTACATACATGTACATATAACATAACATTACCTCCTCTGTTAAAAGAGAAATAAAGTTGCTTATAACTATATGAACATTTAACATTATGCTTTAATTACTCTGTTCAATACCAAGTTTGAACTCCAATAAACTTGAGTTTCTATGAGACATGTATTTGCTGAACTTTAATTTTGTTCTTTTTGATGTTTTAAAACTATACTGTTAACATGTCACTATACTATTAAAGTCTTGATAACATAATGATTAAAGTCACTAATACACTATGATCATAGTCTCTACTTGAATAACAAGCTACCAATTGTATCTATCTGGAGGTTTCCTTTGTCTCTGTGGATACCTAGCTTTCACTGTAGTACTAGGTTTAGGACTGAATACAGCTGTGTTTTTAGGCTTGCTTACAGCTGTGACTTTGGGTCTGGGAGCAGCTGTGTCTTTAGGGCTAGAGACAACTGTGGCATTAGTATCTGGGACAGTTATGATACTAGTATTTAAGGCATTTGAGTCTGTTGCCTTTGGCACAACTGTTATGGGCACTATGGGTATATCAGCTGTTTTTGGTGTATTGTGAGGCATTGAAGAGATATCTTGGCTAGGCTGATCAAATGGTGTAATATCAATGGGGCCTAGTCCACCACTTTGAAGCTGATCTACATGTCTGCGCCATCTCAGACCATTGTCGACCTCCACAATGTATGTCAAGGGTCCTAGTCTGGAAATCACTATGGCTTCAGACCATTTCTTACCATGCCCTCTATAATCCCGAGCAAGTACATGATCACCTATGTTGAACTCTCTATAAGGTCCAAGTTGTAGAGCTACCCGAGTAGTTTGGCGTTGAATAACTTCATTTTTCAAGTTAGGCTTTACAAGTGATAAGCGAGTTCTCAGGTTACGTTTTAGAAAGAGTGAAGCTGGTGTTTCATTTGTAAGGGCATGAGGGGTATTCCTGTAACTTAACAAGAATTTACACAGTTTCTGTTGAGTATTGCCCTTCTCATACTTCATGCATTTGAGAGAATGTTTAAATGACTGGACCATTCTTTCTGCTTGGCCATTGGTGGAAGGTTGCATTGGGGCACTAGTGAGATGACGTATACCATTGGCTTTCATGAAATGTTCAAATTCATCAGATGTGAATTGAGGTCCATTGTCACTCACAAGCTGTTCAGGGACACCATATCTTGCAAATAATGGTCTTAACAGTTCAATTGTGGCAGTTGATGTAGTAGATTTTGTACTAAGTACTTCAGGCCACTTTGAATATGAGTCCACAATAATCAAGTGCATACTTCCAAATATCGGTCCAGCATAATCAACATGGATACGTTTCCATGGTGATTCTGGCCATTCCCATGGATGTAATGGGGCTTTTCGAGGCATTCTTGCATGTTCAGAGCAACCATGACAAGATTTAGTGAGTGATTCGAGATCCTTGTCTATATTGTACCAATGAACATGGCTACGTGCTAGGGCTTTCATTCTGACTATACCCAAGTGTCCTTGATGTAATTCCTCTAGAATAGATTGTTGTAATTTGTGAGGAATAACGACTTTAATCCCCCACAAAATGCATCCATTTTGTATTGTCATATCATGTCTCTTTAAATAGTATGAATATAGTTCTTTATTGTCTTTATCAACATTTCCCCATGTATCTGTATGTAAGGCATTGTAAACAGTTGAGAGAACTGTATCACGGGCAGTTTCCTTGGCAACTGATTTTGCATCTACAGGGAGGGCTTCAATCTGTGAGATATTGAATACAGATTGTGTGTCCATCTTAGTGTCCATATCTGGGAGTGGAAGACGACTAAGTGTGTCTGCGTTGGTATGATCCTTGGTATTGCGATATTCAATATTATATGTATATCCTTGTAGAAATAACGACCATCGCTGTAGTCGTGCAGCAGCCATGACTGATGTGGACTTTGAGGGGTTAAATAAACTGATCAAGGGCTTATGGTCTGTAACAATGGTGAATTTACGACCATAGAGATACATATTGAATTTCTTCAGAGCCCAGATGATTGCGTATGCTTCTTTATCCACCATACTATAATTCACTTGGTGCTCATTTAGGCTTTTGGAAGCATATGCAATGGGGCGCTCTGATTTATCAGGCATTATATGAGATATCACTGCACCTACTCCAGACATTGATGCATCTGTATCCAATTTAATGGGGAGTTTGGGGTCAAAATGAGTGAGCACTAGATCAGATGATAGATATTCCTTACATTTCACAAATGCTTGCTCACACTGGGCATTCCAATTCCACTCTGCATCTTTGTGAAGTAATCCATTGAGTGGGGCTATGGTAGAGGCCAGGTTTGGAATGAATTTGTTGTAATACTGGAGTTTGCCCAGGAAAGAGCGGAGGCTTGGAATATCATAGGGTCGGGGTAATTCCAATATGGCTCTCACTTTCTCAGATGATTTATGTAGGCCATTTTTATCTATCACATGACCTAGATACGAAACTGATTTTAGCATAAAGCAGCATTTGGCTTTATTTAATCGGAGATTGTGATCCTGTAACACTTGTAGCACTTTATCCAAATTCTGCAGGTGTTCTTTATCATCGCGACCTGTTACAATTATGTCATCCATGTAACACTGAACACCTGATAGGGGTCGCAGAAGTTGATCCATAGCGCGTTGGAAAATCGCTGGCGCCACCTTTGTTCCATAATTGAGACGATTGTACACATATAAGCCTTTCGACGTGTTTATTGTTGTATAGGCTTTGGTTTCATCAGATAATTCGATCTGATTAAAGGCATTACCCAAATCGAGGGTAGTAAATTTCTCACCGCCTGCTAAATTAGCATAAATATCTTCGATCACTGGCATTGTGTAGATGTTATCCTCTAATGCGGGGTTAAGAGTTCCCTTATAATCACCGCATATGCGCACGGATCCATTTGATTTTAGAATCGGGAAGCATGGTGTAGCCCATTTACTATTTTTCACTGGAGAAATTATACCCATATCCTCCAATTTGTCTAGTCCTGTTTCCATCTTTTCCTTCATTGCATATGGAACAGGATATGGTTTATAGAATTTAGGCATTTCATCACCTTTTGGTCTAAATTCAGCCTTAAATCCTGATAAACAACCAAGCTCGTCTTGAAAAAGTTCTTTATGAGACTCAAGAATTTTTCCCAGTTCAACAGGTTGACTTTGCACATTGTTCACCTGTTTAATTTTATTCCAGTTCAGCTGAAGCTCATGCAGCCATTCTCTTCCCAGGAGGGGTGGACCATTTGTAGGAACAATTAACAGGCGTAACTTCCTGTCTTGAGCATCCATTTCAGACATAAGCGTAAATGCTGATCCTGTATCGATTTCAAAATTCACTTTACGATCATTTATCGACAACATTTCCTTCAGAGGTTTCAATCCTTTGCTGTTTACATTTTTAACATTGATGTAATACAGACTATCACTTTCACTTGAGTCACTATCTGATTGATACTCTGCTTCCAAGGTTTTCACTTTGCGTCCTTTGCCACGTTTCTTTTCCGAACGTTTTCCAGCCTTACTTTTCTTGCAGGCACGTTTAATATGACCT